TTTAGCAGCAGCTTTTGTCAAGCTTTTCGTTAGAAGAAATCCCTGGTAACCTTGCTCATCTTCCAGTTGCATGCAACATCCATATGCTTCATCGTCAGAGCCAATATTGGTTCGTACGGCACATTTCAACCGGACGATGGCTCGATCCTTCAAAGCTCTTTTGTTTGTCAAGAGAATGGAAGACCCCCCGGAACGAAACAGGCAATTAGATAACATCATGGACTTTTCTTTGCCACAATACCAATGTGAACCAATCGATTCTGCGCTCACAACAACTGCAAATTGATTCTTGTAAGTCTTGAACAAGCGCTGGACAAGGTCGATGGCTACCATACTTGCACTACATCCCATTCCAGAGAGGTTGAAGGACTTGATGTCATCCCTCATCTTGTATCTGTTTACAATTCGAGATGTTAAGGAAGGTGATGGAGAAAACAACGACACATCGACAACGAGTATATCTATTTCGGATGGAGAAACTCCTGTTTTAGCGAAGAGATTGTCAAGAGTATCAAACATTATCTCATCCATCTCTGTGTGTGCATCTTTTTCAGTAGGAGACTCCTCTCTACCATCAAGAACATTTCTCGGACCGTAAGTTTCTTCACCAAGACCTGAACTGACAATGGTCTTTAGAAGAAACCTATATTGTTCAAGACCAAGATTCTTGTTCCTCATGACAACTCTAACACAGGCTTCAGTGTCAAGCTTTCTGTCATCACTTGCCTTGTAACACTCATAACCCAACATATAGCAACATTGGTTTCTCTTCTGAAAAACCATATTACAAATATAGGAAATGAGGCTACAAAGAAATAGGAGACATATTGTCATTACAAGCTCCATTGACAGACACAGAGTGTGTTGGGAATGGGCAGTTTTCTCTGCTCTCTTTCTTCGTAGATAGAAACTGAGAGAAATACTAGTTGGCATGCTCTACATATGGTCGGATACATGCCTATTTATAGACCTTGGATAATCCTTGCTTGGTAATAAAGTTCTTTTTAAAATTATTTACGAATAACTTTTTGACTATAAAATACACGTACTTATCACCAAATTAAACACTCGAAAAACTAAAAAAATTATTATCCACATATAATAAGAAGCAAAGATACAAACTTCATCAAAACGATACACATACTTTGCATCTAATATTATATTTCTAATTCCTAGGTAGGGAAAGAAAGGGACTGTCCTTAATTGTCCCATTAATAACTGTGGACCTTTTTGTTTTTGACTTTGTTCACAGTGATTCTTTACATGCAGAAGGAAAATTGTTGCTTAATCGTTGGAAAGGAAGGCCCAAATGTCAAACATAATCCTATCCATGTTCACAGCATGAAAACCATGTCTTCGATTTTTACAAAACATAGTTAGCTGTTAGGGTTCAGATCTAAGTTTACATAAAAACGCTAGAAATATAGTTGTTGGGCTGAAGCTAGGTACATCTAATCTTGTCCTTCATGATCGAGATAAACATCATGATAAAATATCTAGAACTTTTGCATCCGAAGAGAACTATATGGATGATAATAGTATGCTATTTTTGGATACCATCACAACTATACAGATTTGAGTATTTTATATTCGGATTTAAGATAAATCCAGATAAAAAATTTAATACTCATTTTAGATTCGAATAAAATTCAAGTATTATTTTTTAGATATTCGATATTTGAATCTAATTATATATATTAAATAATTTCAAATATGAATATAATTGTTACCATCATAATCCAATTTTTTTACCAACATGTAAATTATTCCATGATATTTCAACCGTAAAATTGACCTTATCATTTATAATCATAAGTATCTTGATATCATTCGAGAAAAATTACACACTCGTTGCGGATTACAAATGTAATTAACTATCACCGGTGATAGAGTCAATATTTCGTATTTTGGATAAAGATAATATTTATAAAATAATCATATCAAAAATTTAATATTTAGAAAAAAAATAAAAATATATTATAAAAATTTAAAAATTTTGGAAGACAAAGATCTTATTAGACCCATTCTTAGAAGCCTAGATTAGGTTATGGAAACTTTGTCTACAATACAGCAAATAAGGTTTACGAATATAAAATAAAATAGCGTATTTAATTTGTTAGTTAGATTTAAAATTGTTGTATTTGCTTATGTCATGTGCTAGCTATCTTTTGATAATAGCTTAATCACAGATTAAATCCAAATAAATATTTTGATTTATATAAAAAAATAAAGCTTGCTTCAATTTAACCCATTAATTAGCGTGGACTAAATTCGGTTTAGTTCATTTAATAACATATAATTAAGTAGACACATCATATCCCCATTCCAAGATTCCCCATCTCTCCCATTGTCATCTCAAACATCACTTCAACTCCTCTCCCCAACATCGACTTGTCATCCTCTAATTAGTCCTTTTCAATTTTTATTTCAAAATAAAAATGTTTTAATTTAATTTTTAAATAAAAATTATATTCATTTCCCACTAAATCAAATATTCCACGTTTTAATTACTATTTATCTTTTAGAGATGATTTTGGACAAATATAGAATGACTTATAACTAAATCATGTTAAAGTTTAAATTGTTTATAACACATCATTTTCTATCTTTTATTGTCTTTATTATTAGTCAATTGTCATAATGACTCAACTAAATCTGGTTAGGCCTCATATAATATATCATATAGTCACTTTCTATCTTCTAAATTTTAAGATATCAATTATTGGTTATTTTTAATTTTTTTTTATTTTGGGAAAAAAGTTAAAATTAAACATATATTAATCAATAATAAAAAATAAATATGTAACAATTTATAAAAATTGAAATTAAAAATAATAATAATAAATTTGGATTAGACTTCCTAGAATCATGTACTGCAACAACTTTTTCTTCTGTTAATTTAGATATCAATAAATCATATTGTGACCTCGGTAAATTTATTAAAGTTTGGTCCCCGGTTGTCTTGTTAGTCGGTGGGTTCATTACAGGTTCCCACACCTAAACCTGTTCTACCTCATAGAACTAATTAATAATAATTTAATATTCATGATCCTTAGATAGTATTATTTCACGTCGATTTGAATTTTGATCTTATCAAAAAACCCATGTTCAAATCCGTTTTATCGAATTATAACCAATTACATTTGAACCGATAAATTAATTAAAAAATAATATCTAAATTCTAATTTATTATATTACTTGTTATTCTTCTTGTTCATCGACGAAGTCAAGATGATAATAAAATATTAATTTTTAATTTTTTTATTATATATATAATTTAAAATATATAATATAATTATTTTTATAATTACTTTTTAATCATGTAAAATCTTAAATTTTGTTATTCTTTATAATCTTAATTTTTTTTCTTTTGGATACATATAATTCTCATCATATTGTTTATTCTCATGTTAGGTCTAATTTGTGTTTCGATTGTCATTATTTAGAACAGTTGGATTGTAATTTCATAGCTATCAATTTTAAATTGCACTCAGTGAAAAGTATAAGACGAAAAAATATTTGGGTCTCTGCTCATTGCTATCGTTTTCCAATGGCACCAGCCTTTTGTAGACATGGGTAATGGTAGGGTTACCTTGTGCTTGGTGGTGAGCCAATGGATGTGAGATGCTGTACTTATCTTCTATGGCTTCAGCGTTACCTTTCTTCCCAGCTCACTCTGTTTAGCTAAAGCCCACACACTTATCCATCGACCTCCCTCCCAACTTTTCCGGCTTCCGCCTAACTTGTCAGGCTCCATTCAATACACTGGTTCCATTTTCCAACCCCCCTTTCTGACTTTTTTATCCTCCATTGACGAGTCCTTTTCTTGTAGCCAAGTTCCTCATGGTTCCAACCACCTTTTAAGATATTTTTGTGTAAATTCAGTCGCTAGTTCTTTGGTAACCCAAGTATGTCCACAAACACATTAACTTCGTCTCCAAATCGCTCGTAAGGATACCCAAATGATAAATTAACTTTTATTTTTTTATTTTAAAAATATTATTAATAAAATTATCATTTATTAATTTATATTTATATAATAAATACGTAATATATACAAATATCACGTGATTACATCAATTTATTAAATCACCATCCATTATAATATATCAACATATTATAACAATACCATATGACATAAAATGATATCGAATATTTTAATTCATAATAATTAATTATAAAAATATCATTAAATATAATAAAAAATAAAAATTTATTTAAAATTTTTTAAATAATTCATAAATGAAAAAAAATGCAAGCAGATAAGCGCATCATGCAACTGACCTGGCTGCTTTGCATGACTAGGACATCGTCACCCTTTCTAACAGGGATATCTAGTTCTTTTCTAGCCGTACCCATAATCAGCTCCTCTCTGCTCATTAATCATTGTTGGCAGTTGTTCTTCCGATTTGCTGTAACTGGAGCTTGAGTTTATTGAGGGTTGAAGTATGAAGTTCACAGTGGAGTTTACAGGGACAAAAGGCTATTTCCTATTGCATGGTTTAAGGCGTCATTCAACCAGTACTTTCACTGGTGGCAAATACTTGGAGTTGGCTTTTGTAAAACTAGGCATAATGGTCCAAATGATACACCATGACCAGGAACACAGCTGCTCCATCAATGGTGGCCCCATAACTCAGAAGTAAGGTCAAGGAAGGCATGAGCGAGTCAAAAGAACATTTAAACTACTGAATTGAATCTGGAATAATTGAAGTAATCAAGAATATAATGCCCAGAGGATTAACAAGCAAAACATTAACTCATTCAAGTGCATTTCATCAGTCATCATCAGACAGTTGACTAGTAACATCCATACCAGTGCAAGCAACCTCATGGAATTGTAAATTATGAAATATTAATACTTATATTTTACTTTGCAGTTAAAACATCTTGGGACTGCTCCTTTAAGTGGAGTCAATCACCTTAAAACAAAAATCGATAAAATACTATGTTGAATAACATATGAGTTTACTGACAAACCATACTCCAATGATGACCAGATTCTCAAAAGCCCTGCAAAAACTAGTTCCAGTAAGAGATTTAAACTTCCTTTAACTCGTTCACAATGAAGACATGGGCTAGAGCGGCCTTTAACTGCAGAGAAGCCCTCAACATCTCCAGACCCTAAAGACACAAGAAAGAAACAAGGTAAAACCACTACAGGGCTCAGGAGTCAGCACTAGAACCAGGATCCATAGACATGGGTTAAAACTCATTGAATTTTTTGGAGGAACATCATCTTAAGGAGTGATAGGAGCAGCGCAATATATTCCTCCAAAACCTTAATATATACCGCTACAATACAAGCAGACCCACCAAGATTCAATAGAGCTTATGGATATGAAAAGGGCAATTGAGTTGAATGATTTGCTCCAATTCATTTTTAGGACCCAAGTTACTAGCCTCTAAAAGTGAAAACTAAACAAATAACAAGGCCAAAAATCTTTTACCTCGTTGATGCTGAACTCAAACCATTCTTTCCTCAAGAGCACTGAAATCCTTAACATTGCCCTTATTTAGCATAGCAACACCAGAAATCATTGACATTGGTGTTATCGTTAAATCATCCATCACCATGTATGTAGCCAAGCCCTTCTCAACACCTCCCTCAGTAGTTGAACCCGCCATATCAGAATTCCTACCAACAAAAGTCACTTCACTAGACATTGAGGACTTGCAGGAAGGACAAATTGCAATTTAAAATGTCCGTCGCGTAACGATGATTGTTTGCACATTTATAGAACTTTCTCTGTGCTGGATCCTGACTAGTGTCAGGCAACAGGGGAGGAACACTGGTTACAACATATGGCATATCAGGTTTCAAGAGAAAATTCGTATGTTGATTGGGCTGCACATAAGCTTCATTTAAGTTTTCCAGGCTCTGGTACACGTTGCCTATAGAGCCAACCATGTTTCCACTTTTGAGGAGCCTGATAAAGGTACCTACAGGCAAGGAAAGGAGGTAGAATAGGAAATCCACAAACTCCTTTCGAGCTTCAGCAAAGAGGACTTTATTGGACCTTTTATCAATAAACAGCTTCAAGCTTATCTTGGTTTCTGTCGAATCGTTACTGCTGAGAAACATAAAAGTTTCAGTTTGCTATTCTATCAAAATATAGGCTCCATCTATATGTCAGAGAGAATGAACAGGCCAACAAAATATTTAGGGAAAAAAGAAAGTATTAAAGAGAAATAATACCTTTGGCGATACAGTTGATCAAATGAAATAATACGATAGAGAACAAGTAAATGAAATGTTACACTAGTCAAGTATAAGGCCTTCCTTAAGAGGATTTTCCTTTAACATAACATTACACGGCAAAAACATCTTTCTCAGCTCTTGTTTCATCTCTGGCCAATCGGTGATAGGTTGGCGTGAAGAATCCTCAACTCTGGGTTTCCACCATAGTTTTTTCATCACCCACAAGATACATGGAAGTAATGCTAACTTTACCCGCTTCCGGTATATGAGCCACCCTGAAAAACTGTTACACATAATGCTAAGTGTAACGGTCTTATAAGGTATTGTTCGTTTGGCCTGCTGGCCTTATGATTTGTCTTACAAAAAAAACTTTATAGGTTGAAGGTGGTGCGAACCTTTATATTCTCAATATCACTATAGTACATAGTCAATGTGAGATTCATGGCTCTCTTCTCTAAAACCATAACATCTGCCCTTACTTCTCGTTGTGAGTTTCTCTTCGATGTAAGACTTTATAGCTTTACCTACTAAGAGTATTATCTCAACAATATGGGATTCAAGTCCACAAGAGGACCATGACAGCCTCCCTCACCTCAACAAAGGTCCACTGTCCTTAGTGGCACGGTATTGCTAATACTCAGAATTCGCTCTAATACCAATTGTCATGATCCACACCAACCATTGTGAGGTATTGTCCACTTTGGCTCACTGACCTCACAATTTTGTCCCTTAAAAGACGTCTTACCGGTTGAAGGTGGTGTAAATTTTTATATTTTCAATACCACTCTAGTTCATAACTGATGTAGGATTCATAACTCCTCTCTTTAGGACTATGACATCTTTCCTTATTGCTCGTTGGGAGTTTTTCATCTTATGGACGTGAATCGTACATTGTTGAGATAATGCTCCCAGCGAGTAGAGCTACAAAGTTCCACATTGAAGAAAAACTCCCAATGAAAAGTAAGGAAGGATCTCATAATCCTAAAAAGATGAGTCATGAATCTCACATCAGTTATGTACTAAAGTGATATTAAAAATATAAGAATTCACACCACCTTTAACCTATAAGGTAATTTTTGTGGGTCAAAACCATGAACCCAGCAGGCCAAAGCGGACAATATCTCACATGTCATAGGGGTTGGTGTGGACCAAGACAATTAGTATCAAAGCGAACTTTGAGTACAAGCAATGTGCCACTAAGGATGGTGAATCCTTGTTGAAATGGGGGAAGATGTCACGGTCTTTACATGGAGGTGATCCACATCGTCGAGATAATGCTCCCAACGGATTGAGCTACAAAGTCCCACATTGAAGAGAAACTCCTGGCGAAAAGTAAAAGAGGATGTCATGGTCTTAAAAAAGGAGTCATGGATCTCACATCAGCTATGTATTAGAGTGATATTGGGAATATAACAGTTCACACCACTTAATGTTGATCTCATTTTTATTTTCCTATCATTTATATTTCAACTGCTGAGATGACATCAACATGATATACTTGTCTCTAAGTGAAACCTCCTACATTTGCCTTTTGTGAAAGTATTGGAAGGGCATGGAATTACACCTTTAATATATATTCTATTTTTGGTCTTTAAATTCTTTTTTGGCAAATTGAGGGTAAACCCCTAAAGAAGCATGAGCCAGGTTTGAACATGGAGCTATGGTACCCAAACAACTAGAGCAAATCAAACCTTAAGTGTCACGATCCTCGCATACACATGAATCCCACATCGTCAAGATAATGTTCCCAGCGAGTAGAGCCACAAATTCCACATTGAAGAAAAGCTCTCAGCGAAAAGTAAAAGTTGATGTCATGGTCTTAGAAAGGAGAGTCATAAATCCCACATTGGCTATGTATTAGATTGATACTAAGCATATAAGGATTCACACCACCTTTAACCTGTAAAGTGCTTTTTGTGAGATAAAATCGTAAAGTCAGAAAGCCAAAGCGGACAATACCACACAAGAGTTGGTGTGGACTATGACAATTGGTATCGGACTCCGAGTATTAACAATGTGTTACTGAGGACAGTAGACCCTTATTGAAATGGATGTTACGGTTTTCACATGAATGTGAATCCCACATCATAAAGATAATGCTCCCAACGAGTAGAACCACAAAGTCCCACATCACTGAAAAGAGGGAGGATGTCACAATCTTCACGTGGACATGAATCCAACATCTTGCATAGAGCCACAAAATCTCACATCAAAGAGAAACTCTCAGCAGGAAGTAAAGGGGATGTCATGGTCTTAGAAAAGGAAACTATGTATTAGAGTGATACTAGCCATATAAAGGTTCACACCACTTTCAAATTGTGAGATCACTATGAAACCAACGAATTAAAATAGATAATATTGTAGATAATATTTCACAGGGGTTGATGTGGACCATAACACCAAGGATTTTAATAGACATTATGTTATTTGCAGTAATTAACAACCTCATAAATTGAAAAAACAAACTACAAGTTTCAACAAATATTCCAAAAGTTTCTCTTGGTGCCATAAGATAAGGGAGACTTAAATGATTGGAAAATATTGACAGGGTCATTTAACATAATTTTTCTAATCTTTTTAAGAAAGCAACATGCTGCGCCTAGAAAACACCAAGAACCAAGCATGCTACAATATCTTCTTGGAAATAGACATTATAAAAATAAAAATTAATTTTTCATCCCCTCTTGTTGGGTACTATTTTAAAAGAATTTAAAAACTACATTTTCAGTTTAAAAAAAATTGAGAAGCAACTTTCATGTGTAGCACCCATCAAAGCAACTATTATGACATCAAAAGCATAAACTTCAAAGACAAATAGAAACCCAATGTTGTTGTATATCTTGGTTCTCCTATACAAGAAAGAAAATAAATAAATAAATAAACAACAAAGCCATTGTCCAAGCAACCCACAAAAAAAAACAAAGCCAACTTGATTGTTAGTGTCAATGCAATATATTTATACACACAGAAATAAACAGTAAGAAGTGAAAAAGATCTATAAAAGGTCTGTTCTTTTGCCTATTTACTTTCTTTCTTTAGCCCCTTGAAGCAAAAGAAAAGCTTCCCCTTGTGTTGTTCTTTTATTCAATTTAAAACCTTTTATTGTTAAAAAGAAAAATGAAAAACACCCTTTGGCGGTAAAATAAGAACGGAAACAGGAAACATGGGAAAATTAATATCAGTTACTTATATATTAATACAGATATCACATTGAGGATAAACAATATTAACCCATTAATTCAATTTAGTAAGCCATTAATTAATAAATGTTATCATTGATGTAAGCATTGATTAATAAATGTTCTCATCGATGTGTTCACAATGACAGCCGGAGCTTCTGTAGCTCAAGGCTGAACTGTCTACCGTTAGTAGTAATTAACAATTGAAACTAAGAATTGCTAGGCCGGTTCAATAACAAACCGCCCTCCAAAAATAGGCGTATGCCGCTAAAGAGCGGCGCGCGCACGGTATTCTTTAGTAAAAGGCGAAAGAATAGTTCGCTCTGCGCTCGCCGCACGGCTCCGTGCCTTTCAAAGTCATATTGGGGCATTCCTTTATGTAAGTCGGTTAGGGAGCGATTGTCTTTTGTTAGAGATGTGGGATTTTGCTCTTACAAAGCCAGCTGTCTCATGAAATCAACTGTTGTTAGCTCTACTCCATGTTTGTGCAACATCATTCCTTTTTCTAGTCCACAGGCTAACTCCTTCATATTTCAATATTGAAATTTCAAGCTGTATATCCCAGAGAATCCCAGCCTGTATGGGTTTTCTCCTCTCTCTGTTGAACGAATTACTCCCCCAATATCACCCTGATGTAGCAAGTTTCCATCAAGAAAATGCCTCTACCACAAATATACTATGACATATCAACTCTCCTTCACCCCTGTTAATTTGATGTCTGTGTCACATTCTAACCCATCATTTTTTAAAGTTGGAACTTCGGGTTTGTCCCAATCATGCCTTAGGGGCAGATTATATATAACTCATCACTTTACAAATTAATAAGATGTGAATAGTCTAAATCATACTTCAGAATGATTCAAAGCACACAAGTAAATTAGAATATAGAAAGACATCATTTAACAACTGGCACAAATTACTCATAGAGATGTAAGCCATTTTCCCTATTCCCAAAGAAGACATCAGTAAGCACAGTCTTGGACTGCAACGATGCCTTAAGCAGTTTCACAGCCTGACAGAGAATAAGCAAATAAAAATATCAATATCTGTAACCACTAGCAAACTCTATTTCACTTGGAAAATGTGAAATAGTAGGAGAAAAGGTCTACTTACCTCATCCATGCCCATTTTGACAGTTTTCTCTTCAAGAACCCCAACATCTTTGACATTGAACCTGTTAAGCAAAGCTATACTAGAAATAGTTGGCATCGGCTTCACCTTAAGATCATCCATGGCCATGTATGTAACCACCCCTTTCACAAATCCTCCCTCACCTTCAGATGATGAAGTCGAAGACGAAGACAATGAAGTAACAGAAGATATCTTCTCTGTCGCAACAATTTGTACCTGGATATTCATTGTCCTTCCACAGTTAGGACAAGTTGCGGTCGGTTCCTCTGCAATATACCGGCTGCAGCCACAGTTACATTTGTAAAAACATTTTTGCTTTGAATCTTTTAATGACTCAATATTAGGCAGCAAGCGAGGCAAGTTTGTTGTAGCGGAGGTAAAAACTTTAGGCTTCAACAGGGCGTCCTTGTCCTGAAGTCGTTGCATATAAACATCACTCAACTTTTCAATACTTTCATAAAGTTTTCCAAGGGAACCCACCATGCCTTCCTTGTTAAGGAGTCTAACAACTGTGCCAACAGGCATTGACATTATGTTGAAGAGGAAATCAACGAAGTCTTTGCCAGCTTCCTCAAACAAAACTCTTTGGCCTCTCACGTCGACTAGAAGCTTCAAGCTTACTTCGGTTGCAGCTGCCATGGATAAAGACTGTAGTGTCAAGCTTAAATCTGTAGCTTTAGGGGATAGATACACTGGTAATTGTACAATGCTGATGATGTCAGGGGTGTTGGCTATCTTTAGTGTCTTGGCTCCTTTCCTCGATTTTTGCTGTTTTCTCTGCATAGCGTTTTCTATTGAGTTGTGGAGAATATCTAGGCTTAAATAGATAAAAGGTTGCTTCGGATTCATCGAGCTGGAGAAGGTTTTAAGGGAGAAAAAAGACACTGAAATACAAAAGTTGGGTGAAGACTATTTATAAGCATAACAGGAAAACTTTTTACCTGTCTGCAACAACAACATCAATTTCCTAAGCCCCAAATGCAACTGCACGAGTGGTACCAAAATCAATTTGCCACCTACTTCCCAAGGAAAACATCAGAAAAGAACCGCGTTGGACTGCACGCATGCCTTTAGCAGTTTCACTCCCTAACTGCACAAGTCCAGTTTAAAGCAATGACCATAGAGAAGTGGAATGGCCAAAGCATATAAAATCAATTTCGTTCCTTTCCAAGGAACTTTTCAATAGTCTTAATTTATAACTAGTCTAGAACAAAATGCAGCTGGCACGACAGTCCCAAGCCCAATCAATTAGTATGGCAATTAAAGGGCAAATTGTGTCGGGAATGGATCATTTGCCACATAAGCATTGCACTCACTGTAACAATATTTACTTGCATCTTTCATGGACCATCTGTAACAACTTTCTCGACTGATGCTTGAATGTGGCAAAAAGAGAGAAACATTTGCTCCATTGATCGAAACATTAGGCCTCAAAAGGGTATCCTTGTTTTCTGTTGGCTAAATGTAATTATCATTCAATGTATCAATGCTCTCAAAAAGGTTTCCTAGGCTGCCCATCATGCCTAGTCTTGTGAGAAGCCGCATAACAGTCCAAATCAGAAACAACAGTACATAGATGAGAATATCAATAAGTCTTGCCGGCTGCAGCAAACAAAACCCTGTGGCCTTTTGTGTTAACCAGAAGCTTCAAGTTCAAACAAATGGCTGACATGGACAGAAACACTAATTAAAGGAGAATAGCAAATTCAATGTTCTTCAATACAGCTGGTGCCCCTCTCTACATCACCTTTCTTTTTAGATTTCCGGTGGGATGTTGCTGGTTGTCAATTGAGAGATTTTCCTTTAATGATTGATAACGAATCAAGGACCATGGGGAATTGAATGGACAAGTTTGAACTTTGAATATGCAATATTTCAGTAGACTGCTTATAACATGCTCTGGACTCTTAAGGCTCCAACATTGATTGAGGTAGGACTTGGTTTCAACTCACATGTACTTCCTTTTTTTTTTCTTTTTCTTTATTGATATTATAATGCATACTAGATTATTATTAAGTTAATTTGTATGTGGCTATGTGCAAGACCTGTATTATTCCACAAAGTTATCATTCTCCCACTTCCTTTTCCTTCACATTTGCACCATGAATTTTGCTTCTTTGTTGAAAAATTAGAAGAGAAAAAACCCATAATTTCCCTTACATTATATATAACTCATCACTTTACAAACTCAGAATATGTGATTAGTCCAAATCATACTTGAGAATGACTCAAAGCAAACAAGTAAATTAGAATATAGAAAGAGAACATTTAACATCTGGTACAAATTACTAAAAGGGATGTAAGACATTTCCCTTCTTCCCAAAGAAGACATCAGTAAGCACAGTCTTGGACTGCAACGATGCCTTAAGCAATTTCACAGCCTGACAGAGAATAAGCAAATAAAAATATCAATATATGTAACCACTAGCAAACTCTAGTTCACTTGGGAAATGTGAAATAGTAGGAGAAAAGGTCTACTTACCTCATCCATGCCTATTTTGACGGTTTTCTCTTCAAGAGCCCCAACATCTTTGACATTGAACCTGTTAAGCAAAGCTATACTAGAAATAGTTGACATTGGCTTCACTTTAAGATCGTCCATGACCATGTATGTAACCACCCCTTTCACAAATCCTCCCTCACCTTCAGATGATGAAGTCGAAGTTAGAGACGAAGACAAAGAAGTAATAGAAGATTTTTTCTCCGTCGCAAGAATTTGAACCTGGCCACTCATTGTGTTTCTACACTGAGGACAAGTAGCGGTCTGTTCCTCTGCAATATAAGAGCAGCAGTAATTGATACACCTGTAAAAACATTTTTGTTTTAAATCTTTTAATGACTCAATATTAGGCAGCAAGTGAGGCAAGCTTGTTGCAGCAGAGGTAAAAACTTTAGACTTCAACAGGGCGTCCTTGTCCTGAAATGGTTGCATATAGACATCACTCAACTTTTCAATGCTTTCATAAAGTTTTCCAAGGGAACCCACCATGCCTTCCTTGTTAAGAAGTCTAACAACGATGCCAACAGGCAATGACATTCTGTTGAAGAGGAAATCAACGAAGTCTTTGCCAGCTTCTGCAAACAAAACTCTTTGGCCTCTCACGTCTACTAGAAGCTTCAAGCTTACTTTGGTTGTGGCTGCCGTGGATAGAGACTGTAGTTCCAAGCTTAAATCTGTAGCTTCAGTGAATAGATCCCCTAAATTGCTGATGATGTCAGGGGTGTTGGCTATCCTTCGTGCCTAGACTGCTTCCCTCAATATTTTCTCTTTTCTCTGCATACCATTGTCCTTTTGAGTTGTGGAGAATATCTACACTTAAATAGATAAAAGGTTGCTTCGGATTTAAGGACCTAGAGAAGGTTTTAAAAGTTGGGTGAATGACTATTTACCAGCATAACCGGAAGATGTTTTACCATGTTCAACAAGAACTTTCATTACCATGTGCTCTTCCACCTTGTACAAGTACCAGCCATTCAACTTTACAGGAAAAGAAAATAGGAAAAGAAAAAGGTTGTGGTGAATTGTTTTCCACCTCTTCATATTTGACTTTTGAATGAAAAATATGCAACATGGAAAGAAAAAGGGGATTTTCTAGTACATTCTTTTCCAGGACTTTACCTCTTCCATAGGCTCTTGAATGAATGCCTTTAACTTAAAAAAGGAAAAGGATTACCTGATAAGTATAGCACCCTCAATAATGCAATCTTTTGGAACCTTTTTTAAGTTGCAAAAGGGTCTTGAACGAAGGGTATTTGCAATTTTACTTTCATGTTTCCAAGTACTACTATTTATCTCCCATTCATGTCTTAACCAGACTGTTAATTACCTCCAAACTAAGGAAATCTAAGTGTTGCTTTAGACCCAAGATTGAAGTTAGGAAGATTCCAGTTAAACAGTTCAAAGCATGGTCAATCAATTTGTTTGAACTGATACCAATGCGCATGCCCAACGACAACAAATTATATAAGAATCTTAGAAACTGTCTGCAAATGAGAATCAACCAGCATTTCCTAAGCCCCAAATGCAACTGCAAGAGCGCTACCAACGTCAATTTGCCACATACTTCCCAAGGAAAATATCAGAAAGCACCGCCTTGGGCTGCATCCAAGCCTTCAGCAGTTTCACTTCCTACTGCACAAGGCAAGTTCATAGCAAAGGGCCATAGAGAAGTGAAATGGCCAAAGCATATAAGATCAATTTTGTTCATTTCCAAGGACCTTGTGACTAGTCCTAATTTTCGACTGGCCTCAGAACAAAAATGCAGCTGGCATGAGAGTCCCAACCTAAATTAATTAGTACCCTTTGCAAATCATTTCCTGTAGCTTTAGGTTTATTTTGGTGGCTGCCATGGACAGTATTTGCAAAATGGAAAACGTTTTTGATCACTGCCTCGATTGCTTTCCTTTACTTATCAACTACTCTCAATATGGGTGAATAATGCTTCACTGGGGAGGAGAGGATTAGCTGATTAGTATCTTTATCTTATGTTTGTCTTATATGAGTTTAAAAGTTCGGTAAAAGAACTGCTGAAAATATGATATATCTGAAACCATAAAAAGTCGATGGAGTTTAACCATTTAAGTAGAAATATTAAGATCATGATCACTACAAAATATAATATCTCTTAAGTTTCTTACAGAAGAATTGGTCCTTTTTTAAAACCCGGTGAACAACTTTAATTTTTTACCTACTGGTAAAACATTACTTGTATGAATTGTTAGGGAGTTTTTATTGAGATTGAGAGCTTGCGTGAATGATGAACTACCACAATGCATGTGCAGATAGCTTGTGGAGTTTGGTTTGTGTGTTTCAGGCAGTTTTGCTGACATGTCAGTAGCATGTGAGTGCCATGCAATGTAGCCAATGCATGCATGGATTAGATTTCCAGCTTCTGCTCTTAGTTTGTTTATAGCAGAAGAAAGTTAATGTATTAGGTTAGAATTAGCAGCTTTGTAATCGAATTGAAGTCAATGCAGCTCTCTTAGTTCCCTTTTCTCAGTTTTCTTCAGTTTTAATGCTTCTGTTTTTCATGCTTCATGCCTCCAGTTCTGGTTTGTATTTTTCATGTTTAACACACTGAGTTTTTAGCTTAAACACAACAACTTTTAGATAAATTTCAATATAAAAATTCATTAAATGAAAATAAAAACAAAAAACCACTCATAAAAGAAAAATATTACCATGTGCTATTCTACCTTCATGACTTACTGTATTGGTTAATTCATGAATGAATGCCCTTTAACTTTACAAAAAGAAAAAGACTAGTTCTATAAAGTATTCCTATAATTCACTCTTTTGTAAAGGGGAGGGGGTGTTCTGAAAGAATGCTATTTCCAATTTTCTTAATTTTACAGGTAATCATATATCTTATGCATGCTGCCATCAGTATCAGGTAACCAAAAGATTGCTTAGACTTCAGGTTTAGAGTATAACTAAAGGTTTGAGGATATAAAAGAGGATCCCAGTTGTACAATTTGGACTGACATGCTCGAAAGTTCAATGTACAAATTAAATATGTTAGGTGAAGAACGGAAACCCATTATTTAATATCAATTGAAGAGCATAATATCATTTGCAGCCTAATGATTAAATTTCAAGAACACCAGACCACTTCGCAATCTGATACTGTATAATTTCCAGGTTTCAATGTTTAAAGTAAGGTTTGAGCCTTTGAGGCTTTGGGAATAGGTACCTGTTAAAACTTTAAAGGCTTTGAAGATGATCAATCAGTCGGTGATTGGGGCTGTCAGGTTTGAATCAGGCATGATGAATGCTATATTAAGTAAACCATAAAACAAATTATATTTCAGATCAAGACTCCACACTCTTGCAGTAAGCCACAAGCTTTTAGTAGATAGGTTCAGACTTTGCAGGTCTCTAAAACCACACAATTATTGCATAACAAAAGGCTCAAAGCAATCCTTATACAAACTGCTAAAGTTTGGATAAGAAATCAATGAGTATCACCTGCTACACTGAGACTCTTGAAACTGTCTGCAAAACAGAAAATCATTCATGTGCATTTCCTAGATCACGAATGTAAACTGCAAGAGGATTAGTAACCTCACTTTGCCCCACCTTCTTCCCAAGGAACACGTCAGTGAGCACGCTCTTGGACTGCATAGATGCCTTCAGCAATTTCACACCCTATTGCAGAAAGCAAGTTTAAAGCCAATGTTATCAAATTTGGGCAGTAAAAGTTCTCGAAATTACAATGACTATAATCAAACGAAAGAAAAACATATAAGAGAGTTTATTTGCAAGAGTAATGGGGTAAATTCTTACCTCATCCATTCCAAAATCAATCACTTTCTCTTCAAGAACCCCTACGTCCTTGACACTGAACTTGTTGAGTAAAGTGATACAAGAAATAGTTGACATCGGCCTAATTACCAGATCATCCATTATCATATAAGTAACAACCCCTTTGACATAACCTCCCTCGTCAGAGGATGATGCAGCTCTCTCTGGTGGATTAACAAAGGTTGCTTTTTGGCTCATAAGAGAATTGCAGTTAGGGCAAATGGATTTCGAATCATTTGCAATATAGGTTCGACAGGTACTATAGGAAGTATTGGCACACCTATAACAGTTAACGGTGGATGTTGACGATTGCAAGTTTGGCAACAAGGGAGGTACATTTGCGGTATAGTTGGAAACCATAGGCTTCAAAAGGGTGTCTTTGTTTGCTGTTGGCTGCATGTAAGTTTCACTCAGATTGTCTAGGCTCACGTAAAGGTTTCCAAGGCACCCGACCATGTCTTGTTTAGTGAGAAGCCCCGTGACAGTGCCAACAGGCAAAGACAGAATACTGAAAAGAAAATCAACAAAATCTTTACCCGCTTCAGCAAACAAAACTCTCTGGTCTGTTGACTCTACCAGAAGCTTCAAGCTGACAGTACCGGTGGGAGCCATGGCAGGAAAACTGTTGTAAGAAGAAGTAGGGCTCTCAGAAATCTTCACTACAATTAAATTTTGCAGAGCCTAAGCGTTATATTGAAAGTAATCCAGGACCAATGGATATTGGAACTGGAAAAGCAAATACTTGCCTACGTTTATTCATTTGGTATGGAACAGACAGAGCTGACGTGAGTTACAAGGATTCTTTCCACTACTTGTAAGTCTCCTATATTCTATTTTAACATGACAGGTGGTAAAACCAAACCTTGAAGGGTTCACCATTTTGAGTTCTAACAAAATGGTTGGGATCTTCGTGTCAAATCAAACTTTGACAAACATTATGAAAGGGAAGATCATAACACCGAATACCAGCTCATGTTTCTTGATATCTTACATCAATTACTTGGAAAGATCGGGTCCATTGCTTACTCCTGCACTAATTAAACTAAAGGACCTCAAGGATATAAAAATTCATTAACAGAAATGGGAAAAAAACCTCTACCTCGAATGAATTCTCTTTTACTTTAGAAAAAGAAAAAGAGCTACTACACTACTCCTGATTGTGTAATTCACTCTTTTGCACCTCTTTAAGCTGTAAGAAATCTTGAATGAATGGGGGTCTTTGTCTACTGAAAGTAGACTCTGTTTCAGGTATGGAAAACAGGGGTCAACAAAGAGTGAAGAACACACACAGTTTTCCATTCATACTTCACTAATATATACATCAGCATAATTAACACATATTTTCGAAATACATAGCACTTGTTAGAGCGATTAAACAAGTGTAAAACATAGTTTAATCGAAGGCATGCAACGCTCCACGTTGTGATCTTCAAAATATAGCTAAACCCGAGTTACAGGAATGAAGTGCAGGTGGATTTCCACTTGGCATTTGTTCCACTTGGTTCACGCAAGCATTAGACTCAACACGTTTAGAAGTTCCAGCTTGAACAGACTGCAACCTTCAAAATCATTAAATGCGAGAATTTTTAGATCAAACAATTAGAGAGTATAATCTTAAACCAAAGAATTAATGTTGAAACTTTTGACGCTTAGAAACAGGTAACTGGCAAAAGGAGGCTTCAAAGATGATTATATTGTGGATTTGCTTGATGGATGCTTAACTGAGTGAACTATAAACAGCTTCTACTTTAGATCAAGGTTCCACACTCCTGTAAGCCGAAAGAAATTTCAGTAAATAGGTTCAGATTTTAGACAACAAAGGACTCTAAAACCAGATAAAGATAGATTAAAACTTCCTTCATTACGGAACACAAGGCTGAAAGCATGACTGTATGAACAGCCACAAAACTTTGAAGATAGACCAACATGCATCTACTCCTACACCAAGACTCTTTAAATTATATGCATATCAAAAGCAAAGTTACTTCGCCACCTTCTTCCCCAGGAACACAGCGGTAAGCACAGTCTTGGACTCCATTGATACATTCAGCAACTATGTTGAATGTTAGAAGCCTTGTGACAGTACCGACAGGCAATGACATAATGTTGGAAGAGGAAATCAACGAAATCTTTGCCAGCCTCAGCATACAGAACTCCGCGGGATTTCGGGTCTACCAGAGGCTTCAAGCTAACAGTGGTTGTAGCCATGACAGAAACAGTAGGATTGTTAATTTGAAAGCAGGACCTTCAGGGTTATTCAATATAGTCACTGCCTTCATACTCTGCACTCTGTGCTTAATATACAAATTAATTGCCATAGAGAAGTGGAATGGCCAAAGCATATGCTATAAATTTTGTTCATTTCCAAGAAACTTCTGACTTCCCAATTGCCTTCGCTTTAACTGGCCCCCCTTCCCCCAATTAATACTTTATGGAAATCTGTTAACTACATGCCTTCATATATATATTTTTGGTTCTTCAAACTTCAATGTTCAAAACCTGGAATCGATAACTAAAAGACACCTTTCCTTCGAATTTAACAGCATGCTCATAGCTAAAGCTATGCTCCCTATGCTTTGTATACAGCTCATTGACAGTAACCAAGGGCCATAAGGAAGTGGAATGGCTAAAGTATAATAACTCCGTTCATTTTCAAGGGACTTGTGAGATCCCCATAGTCCATATGCAACTCACCTCGAACACAACGGTGCTGAAATGAGATTCTACCCACTCTTGTTGCACTGACAACAAAAAGTCTGAAAGTAAGAAATAAACTTTATACACTAGGAATTGATAGGGCAGTTCACGGAGGAACCGCCTTCCAAAAATAGGCGTATGCCGCTTAGAGCTGCGAGCACACGGTATTCTTTAGTAAAAGGCGAAAGAATAGTTCGCTCTGTGCTCACCGCACGGCTCCGTAATTTCATTGTGAGTTTTACGCTTTAATTTATTGAAGTCGGTTGGAGTGCGCTTTGCTTTCTCTTAGAAGTGTGGGATCCTGCTGGTCTCCAGTCTCCACTCTTAAAAGCCTTTCACCTCTTTCCTAGCTCATTTTCCTGCCAAGCCACACTTTCATATCACATTTCATCTTATATTTCATGCTTTATCTTATACAATATTAGCACCTTTGAACTCTATAGCATGTACTTTTCTCCCTTATTGAAGCATTTCTTCCTGAAATTATCATTTCCTTGATGGAATTTGTATGTTGAGAAGGGTTGTTGAAAACCTTGTTTGTTGGCTTGTCCAAGCTGTGTACCAGACCAAGTTTAAAAAGAACATGCAATAAGGTGGCTCAGGTCCAATTCCGAACCTCTATCGTATCAAACATTAGTCCCCTGAAAATTATCTTTTGGATCAAAATCGGCAAGCACTTGTAATTTGTAAACAGAGCAGCAATGCAAATGCAACAGCAGCAGCAGAAGAGAAATGCAAATGCAATCAGTTCCTCTTCTAAAGCCCCAACTTCTAACTTTATGTTTCTATGCATTCAAAGAGATGGGAAATTGAAATTCCAGACCATCCCTTTGAAGATAAGTCTAAAAACCCATAGTTTGGTATTTACTGGAATAACTTTTCAGAGGAATAGTATTTCATGTTCTTAAAGAAGCAGGCTTCTCTGAAACTAGCTCTTTCTGCCCTTCATTGCTCACTCTAGCATAGCTAACCAAGGGATTTCGGCTCTGGCAATATTGCAGCAAAATTGAATTACAAAGGCTGATGAAAAATATCAAATATGCAGAGAAAAAGAAATCTAGTTGCGGAGTCCAGCATTTGCCTTAGAAAGTTCCTGCCAGAACCTTGCCTTAGCAGAAAGTTTTAAATTGAACAGTGATGAAAATTAGAATAAAATGAAAAGGGGAGTAGCCCACAAAAGGGAAATTACAAGGGTATCTATTTTGGCTGCGACTAGCCTTCAGAATCTGTTTCTAGTAAAACTGAAATATACAATAACAGTCTGTGAAACAAATGATTATCGGTTACAATGGTGTTATGGTGCTGTACAACCAGGTGAATTGCCACAGGGTCTTTTCCAAGAGCAGTTACCTGCAAACATTTAAACATACACTGTGAAACAGGCTCTACATCACAAAGATGAGGAAACCATGAAAGAGTAAATTTGCTGACAGCAGCATGCAAGTAAAGTTTTCAATATTTTAACAGCTCATTGTACAAATGACTAAACTAAACTAAGATGAACCAGCTGCAACAAAATCTGGTTTCTTTTCGCTCAGCCCAAACAGAAGGTAAGAAAGTAAAACCGGATTTTGGCCATCCTAGATGAACCTCCAAATGCAGAAAAATCCACATGTGCTTTCCCAACATAGGATTGAACTAAAACCTTGACAATGATAGTGGTCAAATGCAACTGAGCCACAATGGGCATGAATCTCCACTTTTCAATGCCCACCACCAAAAGATGCAAACCTCTGACCTTTTGTCCACCTAACCACAAGGGCAAAAAAATATTTACCGCTACGTCACCAAGGTCCAGACTTAGAGCGTCATTAAGCTTCAGCATACATTGTGTAATATCTCAACTTCACACCTAAAAGCTCTCCAAGTTACAAGCTTTTGCATCCATGGTGAATTTTTAAACCATCTTAGTCCCCCCCCACCTCTAAAGCTTAGTTTCATTGCCAATAGTTCTGACTGACATCTTTCTCACAGTCTCTTCCTTCACTATAAGTTGAGTTTAGTTAATGAACTAAAAACTGACCTGGCAGTGAACTTTACAAGGACACCTTCTAGCTGAATGGCACCAAAGTAAAGAGAAATATGGACGACAGTTCAAGAGACTAGCACAGCTAAATAAAAACAGTTATACATAGGTCTTATTCATGCTGTCATGCTAATAATGGCAGGGATATGCAAAAGTCTAGCTCTCAAGTGAACATTGGAATCTGAAAATGATGGGAAAGGATAAAAAACAGAACAAATTCTCCTGTGATAACAAATTGTAACTAACCAGCAGGTAATCTGAAGATACTAAACTACATTTTTCAAAAACAATATTTTGATATTCCATCAGAAGAAACTATCCAATGATCAATTGTGAACTACAATATCATAAGAAAAACAAATGTTGCAGAATATCTGCAAACAATTTAACCTAGTTGAAATAAGATGTGTAGTGTCTTAAAATGCTCGCAAGTGGTGGATGGCTTGAGGGTGGTGCATAAGTTAACCATACCAAACTGCATAGAAGCAGCTAAACCTACTACATTACCCAGATATAGCATAAAATCTGGCTGGAATTACATAAAGCCAGTGAGAAATGACAGGAAAAAAGGTCAATTACCTCATTGGTTTTGCCATGTGAATTACACTTGATGTCTGAAATTCCAGAGCAAAAATAAACCATTCGAAAAAATGGGAAGATGATCTATAAACTATTGGCCTGCAGATCTCTCCCAAATTGCAGAGCTACAATGTCCTCAGCAATGCAAGAAATTCTGTAGGTTCTTCATCTTCTTTAACAATCTGTTCACAATCAATATTAAAGGTACAGATTAGAAGATTATAAGGCACTACAGTTGTTTCGCATCTCTTCTGCTGGCTGCATACAAGAGAACATAATAGAAAATTGAGTTCAGAGGCAAATCCTATAAATTTCTTTCATAGACCCACTAGATTCCACATGCACCATAATATACATGGCAAACAAAATCCCATGACTTGTTACGATAAACATGTAACCAGTGCTAGAGAGTTAACTCAGTATTCCACATCTACAGAAGCATCCAAAGAAAGACAACTAGGGTTTGAGCAAAACAAGCATAAAAATAAACAAATAAAGATTTGTAAAATATAAGAACTAAGGCATGATTGCCCTACACATCTCGCATGCACTTGATAGCCTTCCAGCTTTATATTTATAAAATATTACTCTCATCTGCCCCCTCACACAAAAGCTGCCAGTCTGTTCTCTTTTATCAAAAACAAGATATAACTATAAATTAGATATACAGGTATTTGTGCTTCAATCTTCTCCTAGGATTCACAATCTTAATTCAGAAGAAAACATGTAATAAAATTTTAACATAAGCGTGCACTTAAACATGTAAACAAGAAGAGGCAACAATATAATGTTAAAAACTTCAAACATTAATCTGTACCTTAACTGGGGTGTCCTTCGGCAGACCCACTTGAGTTAGAACATGATAACAAACTTGGTTCCAGTCAATCTCTTCTCTATCCCCTAGCACTCTGCTGCTAAACTGAATCAAGCTTTTGTCATGATGAAAAGACCTTCCTACCCAAAAATATAGAATCCTATCTTCATTTTTGCCTACAGCTGTAGTTGGAGAAAAAATTGCAAAAGCAGATTTTGAATCTAGATCACTTCTATTAAATTTTGTCATCCTCTCTATGCTGGGCCAGCGACATACTAAAGGTTGAATTACACCAGGGCATGCTGGGATTCTTTCCTCCATTCTATTTGGGTCAGCAGATCCAAAACCATCCTGGGAAGGATAATTTCTCCAAGGTTCACAACAACTATTAACAAAAGTAGGTTGCTTATCACATGAGTCAGCATTAGCTATTCTACCTGGAGATATCTTCAAATTGGAACCTTGAATCAAACGATCCCCGCAATTTCTAACACCACGCTTGGAATCAAAGACAATTTCGATATCTGACTCACATGATGAGTTAGTGTTTTCATTTATCCTGACCCCATCTTGCTTGACTATAAAACATGGTGGATCATTTGTTACTCTTACATTATCACTCATTACTGGCAACTTGAGAGACTTTGACAAACTGCCTCGACGTTCTGCAAGGGAAGGTGAAACCTTTTTTAGGGGTGAAGATGCAGTCTGCGAACAAGGCTGCGAAGTGAGATTGACACTGACAATTTCTGAGCTATTAGATTTGGGGTGAGAAGAACTTTGGGATGGAACGAGAGACAAGTTAGAAAAGTTAGACAAAGTTGAAGAAACTGGAAGCGAACATGAAATGGCTGAAGGTGAGTCCAGAGAGGATTCTGAAAAGTACTTCGAACAAGTACTTGAATCAGAAGATATAGAATCAGGAGAGAGATAAGGAGGTGAGGAAGATGAAGATGATGAGGATGATGTCGATGACGGTGATGACGCGTGAACAATCATCATGGAATCTGAATAAACCCTGGAGAGCAATATCTTTGGTGCTGAGACAAACTCCTTCATTACGCCAGAGGCAAACTTACGTCTAAGCATGCTCCAACTGCTTTCTCTTGCAGGTAGGTGGGTTTCATGTTCATTCTCCGATGAAGCAAATGGAGGGACAAAACCTCCCTTAATAGCCTTCTGGAAAATCTCAAAATCAACATTATATGCATCCACTTTCCTCTCACCGCAAATCTTAACAGCAGACTCCCCAACCTCAACTTTGTTTCCAGATTTATCCATCAAAGGTAAAAGGTTTGAGAAAGCATCCCAAAAATATGCTGGTTCTTCTCCTTCCTTTATCATTATTATAGGCCCATGCACTCTCTCATACCGAACAATCTGACAAACGGCACCTCGTGCATCCCTTTCCATGATAGATTCACAGTTTTTACCAATCCAAATATATATTGCAGAAGGTATCTGAACAATAAATGCACCTCTAGAATCCAGCACAGAAGGGGACGGATCATTCAGCATTTTAGGGACTAGGTGCAAAGGATCATATGGTGAGTGAGGTGCAATTCTATACATCCTCAATAAAGAACTGGGGCTCAATGGGAATGCATGGACCCTCTTTTGGCACTGTAACAACTGGCAAGCAAAACCCATATTTGGATCTGCAATTCCTCTTGCAGCCTTTACATACTGAAAGGCATCATCGAAACTCTGTCCCTCTCTCCACATAAGATATGCTATGACCAATGATGTGGACCTTGATACACCCTGGCAGCAATGAACAAAAACCCTTCCACCCTGTTCCCTAACATCCTCAAAATAATCAAAAACATCATAAAGTATGCTAGTAATATCCTCTGATGGACTATCTTGCAGCCACAGAGTCCTGTAAACAAAATCAGCCTTGAAATACTCCGGACACACAAAGCCAACACAATTTAAAACATGAGTAATCCCATTCTGTTTAAGTATTTCCCGGTCCCTCGCAACAGCATCTCCACCTAGATATATATGCTCTGCCACTTTTGAGCATTCTTTATCAAAGAAAGCAATCTTATCCCTCTTCAAAAGCCCACCATTCTTATCATTGTTCCGCTGAATTGACGATAAGTCAAGCTTTAACCTCTCACCACTCTTGTTCCCACTTGGGGTCGGTGGCTGTGGCCACTCACCAATATCATCAGAACCAGCCTTCGGCCACTCATCCAAACTTCTTCGCGCAATTGACAACGGCTGCAAAGGTGGCAAACACGACCTGGCCTTACAATTCTGTTGCGAACGCGGGGTTAAAGGAGGAGGAGGAAACCGGCGAGTTGGTCCATTATTAGTACCATCATTACCATTAGGATCTGCGCCTAGATCTTTATCCTCAGTTTCAGGAATTTGACCACTTGTTCGAGAAGAGGACCATGAAGCTGAACGCCAAAACATTTTCCGAGAGCCAGAAAGCTGGCATGATGGAGCCCTAGGATTAACCGGAGCATCCTCTTTTCCCACCATACCCACTTCACAATATCACCTTTACTAAAATTGTAAAACAAATACGAAGCTTCAACAGAACCCTACTACTTATTCACTATGATGCCACCATTATAAATACCATAATAAACTCATGAAACAAATATAACCCAAATCCAAAAACCTTAAAAAAAACCCTAACCTTTCACCATTTTCACCATGCCTTCTTCCAATAACTCAATATAAATCTTAAGACGAAACCTAGAACCATTGAAAAAACCACAACTTGGGAATTAAAAAAACGTTACTTGGAATAAACAGTGGACGTGATAGACGTAGAACTAACCCCAAAATATGAAGAAATCAAAAACCCATGACAGATCAACCACGAGGAACTAGTAAAGACACTGCAAATACAAAAATTAAAGAGTTAATCAAAAGCCCATCTCACAGAAATAGAAGTACAGGGAAAGAAAAAAAAAAGAAGCCCAGAGTTCAATACAAAGCAAATTAATTAAAACGAAACAATACCCAAACTGTAAATCTATCTGGGTGACTTTAGAACAAAAATAAAAAAAAAGCAACAAAAAAAGAAATATGGAAGAAAGAGAGAAAAGAGAGATTTCGGACTTACATGGGAGGAAGAGGAAGAGGAAGAAGCCATGGAAAGAGTGAAGCTGAAGAGAGAGGGGGAAAAATAATAAAAATGAAAAGAAGGGGAAAAGAAAGGAGGGGTGAAGAAGGGTGGTAGCAGTCTTTTTCAATAATTTTCTCTTCTTTATTTATTTGACTGTGAGAGGGAGAAAGACAGAGAGTGAAAGTGAGCTCTTTTTTAATTGTGTTTGAGACATGTGAGTCACTCACATCAACACAATTTGTGAACTTTTCCCTCAAAAACTAAAGCTTTTTAGAACAAAGAAAAATCTCTTCAAGAACTCGTTTTTATGGGAAAATAAAAGATTATATCATTGTATAACCCAACTATTGAACTCAAAAAGAAAAAAAGTTTTCAACTTTATCATTAATTCATTATATGCATTTAAGCCATGAAAATTTTGGGTTAGTTCAATCAATCCATTTTAATTACAATCCTTCTCTATAATTATTACCTAAACTTAAACGATTAGGACAGTTAAGGACATCAAATATTTGATAAAAATTGGTTTATGGCCTAAAATGAAATCTGAAGGTTTTTCCATGCATTAATCCCTTCTCTTTTACTCTTTGTCAGAGTCATATGCATAATGCCACTTGGAATATAATAGAAATTAATACCATTTATGTCTTGGATTCAAAATCTTCAATGGGTCTTTGGGTATGTCTTGGTTTTGAAAGTTCAAAAAAAAAAAATTTCTTTTGTCCTCTCAAGATAAGCTAAGAGCATAAATACATTGTACTTTGCAAGTTATTTATGGTGAGAATAAATGTCTTTCAACAAATCTAGCTCAATGGCTAACACATTAAATCAAAGGAGGGAAGGAAGGCAGAAAGAAAGAAAGAAAGAGAAACAGAATTACAGTCAAGAAAAGAGGTCTGAATTTTCAGTCTTTGGTATATTTAATTGAGGCAAGTTGTTCATATTCAAAGTGGAGAGAATTATTAGATTTCAATTTTGCTACATTTTGGCAAAAAAATAAAATGAATTATTCGCTTGCATTTTAATTTTTTGAGGTCAAAAATAATAATCGTAGGTAATATATCTCTAATTTAATCGGATATGCATAAGATTCAGATAATAATAGATATCCAAATTTCACAATAATTTTGTTTTCATTTTATACTCATTAAAGGAAAAAAAACCATTAGGAATTGGTGTGACATTGTGCATGAACCTCCAAAAGAAAACTGATTTTGACATCAAACTTTTTAGAACTTTAGTGATATTAAATCCAATTATTCATGAGTTCCCCACCACAATGAAAATTTTCACTAGTTCCCTCTGCAAACAATCATGTGGTAGGACCCCAAATATCCTGTTAGGAAGTCTCATGGAGAAGGAAGAGATTGTGGAAGTCTTCTGCTCACCCTTTCCATGGATCCAGTTTGGCATTGAAAAGAAGAAAGGAAATGCAAGAGTTGCCTTAAACATCTTATTACATTGGAAGGGAGAACCTTAAACTTGGGTTTACTTCAAAATCTAGTGCGAACCCAATACGAGGTTTACAGTAATCGAATGTAAAGCCAAAAGAGTCAACTGTAAGTGCATGTGGAATTCAAACAGAAGATTGACAGAACATAGACTTAAAAGTTAAAAGAAAAAAGTCCTGTTGTCATCATTCTTCATTGTCTTTTTTTTCGGGTTTATGTTGGATTGCTTTACAAGTAATTCAAGGTATAAATTGGAATTGGCAATTCAACCTTATTGTCAGTTTTTATTATGGTATCCTATGTTGGGTTTCTAAAGAAACCGATTTCGATAAGAAGAGAATCAATCAAAGAGAGGGTATTCAAAGTTTTTGGTTTTTCTGCTAGAATATGCAAGTTTGAGATAACAAGCATGCATTTTGTTTTGCATGATTTGGTTTTGACCTATCAGGCTTCTTTTTGGTGCTGTTATGGGAGTTGGTAAAATATCGTTTTCACATTTTCTGGCAGAAACTATGGAAAGCCAAAGTTGCTGATGCAATCAGGGTAATAAGAGAAGGTTGAACCCTACCTGCTGCAACCTACTTTATGGCATATTTTAGAAAGTTTGGCCATTGATTTACTCAAATAGGTGGTAGTAAATCCTTGGAAATATTCTCTTTCCCCCCACTGTTCTTGTCATCACCTTTCCTTTGAATCATCATAAGGAAAGACCCCACAATTCCTGACAGGAAGTTAGTCAAGCAACTTGGATAGTTTTTCTTCTCTCATTACCCTAACCAGATTGAAGGCAGAGACGTGTAAACCAGTTCATGGAATATGCTTATGAAACTGGGGCTTTATTGCTAGTTGCGAGTAATTTTTTGTTTTTTCTCAAGCAAAGGCCTCTTTGGGTCCTAATTTCTTTAGTCAACAGCCAGGCCATGGAATTCAAAGAAACTACTAACTTTAACCAATGAGAATTACAAAGCCAAGTCTAAGCCTGCATCATCTTTCATAGCCTTGGCAGGTTTTTCTAAATTATTGAACAAGTTGCTGAATAGAGTGCCTCTGTTGTCACTGAGTCCAGCAGATTCCTAAGTTCCTCTTGTAAGTTATTTGACGTTGAGGACCAAACTTTTCCCCCAAGTCAGAAAACTGGTAGGCATTTATTCTACAAGGTGTTGAAAAGTTGCTCCATACAATTTAGAAGGGAATCTTCTGTATTATTACTCACAAGAAATCCTGCCAAGGGTAAAGAATTCCAACAGTGGTAGGGGAAATGCAAGTCTGCAAGAGGAGACTAATCGAAGGTGAAGAAATTGATCTGCATTTGAAGCTTGAATGTGGTGAAAATGTCGAAGGAGTTCATGCTTGAAGTATAGAAACGTCTACCATCGACCGTGCCTTACCATGGTGATATAACTAGTCAAACATAGAGGGAATGCAGTGGCAGAAACCAGTATATAAATTAAAATCCAGAGTGATAATCCCAACACCAAATGAACACCAGTGGATTTTTTTAAAAAAGCTAAAGGGGACAATTTAAGCTTTGGAATGCATTTTATCATATCAGCTTCAGATGAAATTTAGTAACCTGACAAGCAATAAACAGATGAATTATTGCTCGTAGCATGACCCAGGACCAGTTGGAGGACGTCGAGCATATTTGTTTGTGGCTGGAGCAGCCTGAACCCCACGCCGATTCAATAAACATCTGAAGTACTGGTACCTAGGCAATGCAGTTAAAGTAATATTTCGTGCAGCTACAGGCTCCCTCTTGCTCCACAAGCGCTCTATATGAAAATGGAAGCCATGGCATCATTAAAAAAAAGAACTGATAATGGAAATGCATTTCTGTTATAAGACACAAATAAGTCAACGAGTTGTACCAATGAAAGTGACTTCAATTATTAAATCCAACAGGATATGTGGTAACACGCAATTGATTTGCTTGCCCTAAATGCTTAACTCCATCTAACACATTTTTACCTAAAAAGGAAAAAAAAATAATCTATGTCGATGTCGAATAGAGCCAACTAGTACAAGCTAGAGCCAACTAGTACAAGCTAACAAAGTGATTCGCTTACCTAATATGCATATTTAGGTATGCATTAATCATTATGTGGGACAAATCAGGTTAACAGACAGTAATTCAAGCAATTCGGTTACTCTCTCTTACAACTTTATATTTCCTTTTATCTCATCCCTTGTCTCAGATAATTATGCTGTGGGCTCCATAATCATTTTTCCCAGTTAAAAGCATTCACAAGCACAACAAAAAGAGAGCAGATAGAGAATCAAAAGCCATAATACAAAATGATTAGGACACAAAAAAGAAGGGCATTATGACATTCCAAATAGTTGAAATGGTTTCTTTCAATCCACAAAACATAAAATCAAACATTTTTACCTAGGTAAATAATTAGAAAAGGCACTGCCTTGAAAAGTCATCTCACTTCCATCCCAAAACATTTGTTTCAAGTAGGAAAAAGGTGACATACTCATTGCAATTCTGAGTGAACCTCTTCCATGAAATTATTTAACTTTCTCAGTGGGTCCTTACAAACACCAAGTAAGTTAATCACTTATTTATTGGATCCTGTGTAAGGCATCTATTATAACTATGTTCCTAATGTCTTCTTTTTTTCAACATTTTCTTCTTATTTTAGTGTTTTGGGTTGGGATGGAGTATTTTCCGGAGAAAAAGAGGACCTTATCTTTAAAAAATTAAAGCATAACTTGAGCATCAAGGTTAATAAGGCAACAATGATGTCAAACAAACACTTATACTTGGGTTTTAATGTAGCACAACTTTATAAAAGTGTGTAACATACCTGCTGCTGCAGCAGCTCGAGGCCATATCGTTTGCTGAACATTTGATGTATCAGCCGTCTCACCCCACATACAAACTTCTCCTCCAAGAACAAGGTTTTGCTCGGATACATTAGTTATTCCTTCCAGTGGCTCAGCATTGTAAACTTTCTCCCAAGGAACATCAAGATGGTCAAGATACCAAACACCTTGATTGCTGAAAATGCATCTGAATCCCTTTGCGACTGCCTTTGGACAAACCCCAGGGCCCAACCTACCACAATAGATAAATTCATCAATGCTTGGAATACTGGGTAACACCTCATGCATGCAAAACTTCAATTAAAAGTTTAAAACTCACCAGTTATGCACCACAGTTCGTGGATTAAGATTTGATGCAAAAGCATTGAATGTTTCTTCCCTGAGATGAGAATATTCGGATTCTTCAGATATTCAAATATTTTAAGAAAAAGATCAGTACAGAATGTTTACAGAAAATGAAACAGCAATGCAAAATAATCTTTGGATGGCACATTTTGCTATTTACTTTTGCAGGCTTGTAGAAATAAATCTTGGTATCATCTCATGCACCATTTAAATTTTAGGCAATTTATATTGCTGACATCCCACAATTTTTAAGAAATTCTATTGAGAACTTAAGAGAGAATAAGTGGGGCTAGACCCAATATCTTTTCATGCAGCAGAGTCCAAACTGAAAGCCATGTTTAGAACATTAACAGCAATTGTAGAGCACGGACAAAGACATACCAATTGACAGGTGTCCAGCCTTTTGAGATTGCCATTTCTTGAGCCTTGAGTACAAAATATTGATATGCATCCTTAGCGGTTATATTACGATTGTTGAGCCTGCAATTGTCTTGATTAGATTAATGGTTTATGGGACAGGTTCTACAAAAAAGTTACTGCTTAATCCCCGGCATGGCAACATTGAATGGCTAAATTATTATATCCTATGTAGCAGTTACTTAGAGATCATGAATCATCAAATAATAAGTAAATGTCGATCAACAAGAATTGTGAGGCATGTACCACTGTTTTATGTGTGGAGTAGAGGTCCAGCAATCTGTAAAAACAATTAGTGCTGGAATTAATAAACTTCAGAAGGGCAGAACAAAAGGCATAAGTGAGCATGAAAATAACACCGGAAAGAGTTGAAATAAAAGCCTGAAAATTTATCTAAGCAAATAAGTCTGCATCACAAATTCAACTGTTCATTTAAGCTTTTAAACTAAAAATTAAAGTTGATGACAGATTTAAAAGCCTTCACTCAGCGACTTATACTTCCTTGAATAAACAACAGATTTGTTGTCAATTTCTAAAACACCTTATCATAGATGAGAAGACAGATATACCAGATTTATAATGAAAATGTAACAAATCTATCCATCTAGTAGTTTAAAGAAAAAGATCAACGTCAAATTTTTTAATGACTTTACAAGCACACAGTTTCAACATATGGGGTTTTCAGAAGCCTCAAAAGATGAGCTTATTTACTTTGTCCTCTCATCTAATAGTTGCATCAGGTTTCTATCATTGTATAGCAGCCTTTCAGCATGAATATGCACATATATAACGATCCTAAGCAGATAGCATTCAAAATCAATAAGAGAAACTAAGTGAAAAAATTTGGTTTCAATCCGAGCACATAGTTGTATCATTTTAATGAAGGATAACAGAAAAGTCTGTTAGCAAGAAGAAAGCCACTCCACCAACCTGTATTAACCTCATCACCACCCAAGTGGAAGAGTTCAAATGGGAAAATTTTTCTGATATCTGTAAAAGACAAATTTTAATTATAAGTTCACACAAGAGGGAAAGGATATATGGCAAATGGCTCATAAAAAGTGATTGTTACTTGTTAGAGCATCTGTGCAGGATATGTATCCATAAGTAGGTTACTACTTGCAGTGAATAGCAAACCTTGGCTCAAACTCATACTATTCTACTGCCAAGAAAATAAAAATAACCGGTTCCCTTCAGCTTTAGTATTATGGGGCTTCTTTTGGCAATTATTTTGAAAAGAAAGAACTTAGCCCAAAAAAACAATGTAAATATAGTTATATTGGAGATAAAATGTTTCAGACTATCAAAGATCCCATCCTATTCAATAATCAAGATTCTGCATGAAGTGTTCTCGTATGTAGGATGAAACAGTTCTTTTATCCGCATTTTACCAACATTAAAGCCAAAAGAAGCTTGCACGCTCGAAATTTTAACCAATGCAAAATTTTTCAAATATATGTAAAATTTCTTATACCCTGGCAAAGATCCTTAAAATTCAACCAAAGACTACAATTCTAAACGTTGGGAAGCTGAAAACTCAGGGGTATATGGCTACGGGTAAATCAACCAACTGACGATCAACTGACCTGCTCTGTTAAGATTTTCAAGCATAAATATCAAGTGCAACAACCATGATGCTAAACATTTGCGTGTTGATAAGATTATTGCTAATCCACAAAACTCGCACAGTTGCAGAAAATAACTAACACTACCATTGGAAGGTTTTCGTGGAGCTTAACCTGACAGAATGCCAGAAATCAAATCAAAAGTAAAATTTTTTGAAACATCAAGTGGTTCTCTGCAGGAAGAAGTCGGCCAAAGATCAGGATACCCGGCTCCCCTGCACAAGAAACAAGTCATTTTAAATCCAGGGTTGATGGATTAAGAAGCCAAATAAGAAATAAGTAAACTAAACAAGAAATACAAAGCCAATATGCAAATTGAGATAATAAAAATTCCACCTTTTTTCTAAAGAACAAAAAGAGTAAAAACCAAGCATCTTTCATATTCTGTACTGTTCAAGATCAAGATACATTGGGATATGTTTTTAAACGAGCCTAGAAACTATGTCCTTCTCATTTGCAGGATTAAAAAAAATCCAGATGATTTCAACTGCCATATGATGAATATTACAAATAGAAATACTCAAAAAAAAAATCATATCCTAAAGTCCCTCAATAGAATGATATCAGATCAGCCTAAGACAATAATTGGCATTATAAAGCATCTTACCATGACTCTGCATGACCAGGGACATCTACTTCTGCCATAACATGGATGCCTGCCATACACCATGCAAAATAATAAGAAAAGAATAAGCCATTATAGACAGCTTAAGTTAATTGTTTTAAGAAATTGCACTATGCTTTTACCATCAAGTCACATGATATAACTATAAATTAAAATTTAAAAGAAAAAAAGAGGTGTTGGGGGCAGAGTCAATCCAGTGATCCCTAGAAAATGGCTAAGATGTTCATTTAAACTGTCAATAAACTTGAAAGATCAATCTCACCTCTCATTTTGGCGAAGCTTCACATGAGTGCATGAAAATAAGAAACAGAAAGCACATAATTAGGGCATGCCTGAGCAAGAAGCATGAAATCGAAAAACTTTTCAAAAACGGAAAAGGAAGCAAGAAGAGGTGACAAAGAGTGAGATCTATTCAGCCATGCATTTTGGTAGACATAAAATCAGAACACTAAATTGACACTTTTGGATAACAATACAGCAGATGATAATTTTTTTTGTGAAAGCATTCTGCCTAGTTTTTCTTAGTTTAGAAATATAAACACATAAAATACTCCAAAAAAAGTGCTTAGAAGTTTTACAGCATAGAAGGCATCTCCGGATTTATAAAGTTTATGTATCTTACCTAACAATTTCACTTGCATCCTCAACCGTATAGCGTTCCCATTTTGTATAAGAACCTTTCCATAAATCTGGATATGTAGGTACTTCTAGAGGAAACGACTGCTCATCTATGATGTGCCAATGAAGGACATTCTACTGAATGCAATACTCATTATCAGAATGACAAGTAAAATGACTGGAGAAATAAAGATGGTACAATAATTTATGACTGCTCAAACGAATTCCAACTGTGAAATGCAGGGCTGACAAAAAGAGTACAGCTAGTAGCATTTTCTTACAAGTTTAGCATAAGACAGAGATTCAATTATCTGCTTAATGACGTCAATCGGTAAATAGTGCCTCGATGTATCTGTAACAGATTGCATATGCAATGGTATCAAGTTAATATTCCATAAATTTTATTTAAGAAGAAAAAAGCTCTTTGTGTTGCAAACAAAACTGAGACTTACCAAGCAAAAGCCCACGATATGCAAACCTTGGCTTATCTTCGATGTACCATGGTGCTTTGTATACTTGCACTGATTTAGTCCCATAATCGAAAGCACACAACTGGCTGAATGTCTGGGACATTATAAAAGAGAAGAATGAGGGAAGAGACATATAAGAATCCAATCCAAAGTATCAGAACCATGTGCATTGAAGAGCAAATAACTCCAAGATATTTATTTAACCAAAGATAATATACAATCACCAAAATATGTGTATTTGTATAAAGATCTATGAGGAAGGGAAGAGATATTTCACCCAAACACCCTCAAGATTACATACACCAACAGTGTACCATGTACCTAGTTCAGTATACAAGTAAATGATTTGCCTGCTTACCTCCAATCCTCTTAATGCACCATAAACAGTATTGGCCTGCCAAAATATAAGAAGACAGATAGATAAGTGAATATCAGTAATCATAACACATTCAATTAATTCAAATTGACTCAAATTCAGAAATAATCCTCATAGTACATGTAGTTCAATAAAGATGAATTTTACACTCGAAAATTGGTAAAATCATAACTAAGCAGATTATTATCCCAGCCTTCTAACGAAGACCCTCGATAGGCTGTGCATGTCCACAGTGGAAATACAAAATTTGTTATTGAATCATTTCATGAGGTTAACTTGAATCAATTATTAATCTAGCTACGCATATTTGATCACATATTCATACATAGGAAAGCCAATAAACTAATCTACTAAACACACCACCAAAGACACTACTAAGCAGTAAACACCAACACTAAAGCTAGCAAAATCTGAAAACAAAAATACAGGCTTTGTAGTATAACAAATGAATTTGCAATAGCCATGAAAACCAGTCCACAGCTAAAAACAAATTCCCAGCACGTCCTCCATCTGATCATCAATAAGTCTCAAACTTTACCTCAATTGTAGCCTCCCCAACAATAGACTTCCCATCATTCTTTGCCACAAACAAGGTATAACTCTCATCTACACCCAATTGAAGCTGAAATAATCAAACCAAAACAATCAACAACATAAAATAAAATAAAATAAAATCTTTTAATTGAATTTAAAAAAACAAAAACCGTAGGTTCAGACTAACCTCTTCACTGTCGGAATTCACAATGATCCTCAATTCCCTGATATCATAAACAGATCTTATCCCTCTCCACTTCTCAAAAATTGAAACCCCAGAAACGTGTTTAAATATGATCTTCTTATATCTCTCAAATCCTTCCCTTAAAATCTTCAAGTCCCCTCCTTTCCCCAAGACAGACAGAGACAGAGTTGGGTCCACAGTCAAAGTTTCATTGCCAGATTTAAACTCAGATGGCAAAGGCCAAATATAAGTCAATGACTCATCCAACTCAAACCCAGAATTCAACACTACAAGCTGACAAACACAAAGTGAAAATATAAAGAAACTGAACTTGGAATGGGGTTTTTGAGAAAAAGGTAACATCTTCGTTTAAAGGGTGGAAAGATTGGTTTTTTTTTTTTTTTGATTATTTGAGTTATTGGGAGTGTGATTTTGGGAGTAGGGTTCAAGGGGTTATTGGTGGAGGGGTTGATAAAGAAGGGAAGACTTGAACGATACTTGATGGGCTCGTGGGACAGGAGGGGACAAGTGTTTGCAACTGTTGAGTGAAGTGAAAGTGGAGTTTTCAAGTGTTTCACTGTTTCATGTGTTTGTTTGTTTTTCTGTTTTTACAGTTGATGGTTCTGAGATCAGATTTTTTTTTTGCTGTTTGTTTTTATTTTCATTTACTTTTGGCTTATTGCTCATTGTATTTGTTTCTTTGTGAAGTAAAACAAAATCATTTTCCTTTCTAACTTTTCTTTTTGAAAGGTAATTAAAGAAAAGAACAATCAAATGAACCATTTATTTAAATTCCTTCTAAACAAAGAGAATTTTCATTTTACTTTCTCACTTTTCTTTTTAAAAAGTAATTAAAGAAAAGAACAATCAAATGAACCATTTATATAAATTCCTTCTAATCATAAAGAATTATTTGAATAATAAACAAGGCCATTGAAAGGAAATATTTTTTTTTACTATTTTTCTAAAAAAAAAGGTTGCAATTTTGGACATTATTATTTTTGTCACTTGTACTATTCTACTAGAGATGAAAAATAATGATCTTAACATGTTTTTTTTTGAAAGATACAATTATCTTAGGTACCCTCCGAACTCTATCCAAATTCAAATATAAAGTACTTGTCTCTTACATAATCATTTCAGAAACCCATATTTACCCAATTAAAAGATAACTATTATCATTTTATATATATATATATATAAAGGGAAATTAAAGCATTACATAAATCTAGATCAAAATTAATCTTAAAGCATCTGTTAGAAGATAAGATAAAATATCATATGGAGGGGATATAAATATATGTAAACTTGAATTAAAGTTTTTATGTATGTTATCATCTAATTAGTTTTGCAGGGAATGTGAAAAATAAAATATTTTCGATCTCTTAAAAGTAATTTATTGATTTTCATATCAAGTGGTCACTAGAATCATTTTTCAAAAAAAAAAAAAGTGGCCATTAGGATCCAAGTGTAGAGCAACATCTATACTAGAAATTTTTTGAATGGCAGGTAGAGTTCAACTTGTTTTCTTTTATATTCTTTATTCCAATACAATAATAAACCTTGATAAATGGCCCATAATTCAGCTGTAAGAGTGAAAGATATGACTAATTTAATTGTGAATCCATATGCAGGACTCAATTGTGACGTCATATCTCACTTAATTGTGAATATTTTTGTTGCACTTACTTTTTATCAGTAAAGCAAAGGCATCCACCTTGATTCGATCCAGCCAGTAAATCTTAAAGAAACTTTTTTGAGAGAAGAAATAAGACTAATCTTGCTCGACATCGTTAACTTGTGGCTGTAGTTTAGTGGTAAGAATTCCACGTTGTGGCCGTGGAGACCTGGGCTCGAATCCCAGCAGCCACATTCGTTCTGCTTTTTCGGCCTTTTAAGTCCTTAGCGGCAACACCGAACGCGTACGGCGAGAAACGACGCCGTAATACTTGTTGGCCTATTAGTCATTGTCAGAAATGTTGGTTTCTTTTCTTTTAATCTAAAAATATAACACAAAAATCAAGTTATTTAGGTAGACATTCACAATTATACGATTTACGAAATTTTGTTCTTTTCACAATTTTGAAGAATATTAAGTTATAAACCCGATTTAAATTTTATTACATAAAATTTATTGATTCTACAAAGTTAGCTATTTTTTTCACTTATTTAGAGGACTCTGCTAAATAGGCTGAATATTAATACACACCTAAAAATCATGTGATTATAAATAATAGCATTTATGAGTATTCCAATATTTCAAACTTGCGATCCACTTAATTTTTCCTTTATTTATAATATATTTTCTCTTTGATCCTAAAAACTCAATCATGATCTATATCTGTTTCTTTGTTAAAATAAATAAATTAATATAAATTATTAAGTGGATAAATCTTGAAATATAGAAAGTATTTTACTATTGTTCTCTATTAAAAAGGAAACATCCTGCATGAAAAGAATGCTATATCTCATAGCTTTATTAAATTAAAAAAAAAGGTATGACTTGAAACAAGGGAATCTTTTTTCCCCAATTGCTGGTTAATAAATTAAATAATGGAAATATTTGGGTATCAAATACCAGCATTAAAGAATTTTTTTATATATATATGGCAATATTGAATCTTCTCAAAGGATGAACCCAACAAAATCAAGAATATGATACCATGCTTTTGCCTTAATATGCAACTTAGCAATTATATATATATATATATATATATATTGGTGTTACAAAAATTGTCAAGCTTTTAAGCATAATGGTTCAAATCCAACTACAAATTTTGGGTATAAATATATTCTCTTATTAATTATTGAATTGATGGAGTCATATTTCACGTGTGGAAATAAAAATTAAAAAGAAAGTTGTTTTCTTCGTTAATAAAAACTTCGAGATTCAATCTTTTCATCACACTCATGTTTTTTTCGAGTGGATGCCTCACCTACCATGTGGTGTTTGTTAACGAAAACTTTAATGATACGCTTTTTGTAAATTTACTATTATAAATCCTCATTCAATGCGTCCAAAATTAGATTAAATTATCTATTTTATTGTATTTCTATATATATCATCTTTATTCGTGTTCTTAAAAATATCTATTAATAAAACTCTCATCTATAGACCCCTTTTGCAAGGTTTAAGAAACACTCTTATTTGATATCGTCGAAGTCATTAATTATAAAATCAAAAAATTTTATATGTCAAGTTTACTTGTGAAGTCAACTTGCATATATATATATATATATATACATATACATATACGTAAATTGGGTTTTTGCCATATGTTATGACCATGTAAAGCTTTGAAAGTGATATAAAAGGATCAAAAGCATGGTATTATGGAAAGATCAAGGAAGCAAATGAAAAAGAAATAGGTATAGGAATCAAGTATTTGTCTCCAAAAGAGAACATGGAATCAAATTAGGCAATAGAATTTTATTATGTGACTAGATTCAATTTTGTGTTTTATTCTTTGGTGTCTTTGCTTCAATTCCATGGATTATTAAAGGTAAGGTGCTTAAAAAAAGTTAATTCGATTTATGGCCATCTAATCAACCGAAAAAGAAAAAAATGCATAATATTAAAAAAAAGTATTTAAATTATTTTAAAATTTTTTTATTTATTTATTACGTTTAATCAAGTTATTGCTTTTTTATTTTAAATCAAATAAGTACTTAAATTAATTAATTGTTATTAGTAAAAACGTTACTTATCATTTTATATCAATATTTCATTAACATGACATAATGTGAAAAGTTTAAAATGTCACATAGTTATGTTTTTATACTAAATTAGTATGTCATGTTATTATCGTGACATATTAACATTTTACATTATCATCAATTATAATATAATAACATGTCACATCATGTTACACAATAAAAAATAATAAATAACTTTTTACTTAAGTCAATCATTAATCATAAAAATATTTTTGATTTAAAATAAAAATATTAAAACTTGATTAAAGATAATAAAAATATAAAGACTTAATTAATTTTTTAAAATAATTTAAAATTTTTTTATACATTATATAAAAAATCACTACATACAATGTAACATATAATGCTATAAAAATTCAAAGCTAATTTTAGTTTAGTCAAATTTTCTTGTCTCGATACATTAATTAGTAATCATTTACTAGGTGAATATAAATAAAAAAAGTTACTTATCATATATATATATATATTAAAAAAAGTTGCTAAATTAAGTCAGAGTAATCAATGATGATCAACCCACGCCACCCACACGAGTCAAAGTAGGTATGCTAAAAGAGCAAAGGTCCATGTCACAGTGTCATTTTTCTTTCTTTGCTTAGCCAACACAAACACAAACACTTTCTCATCTCAATAAATTAAATGAAAAATTAAAAATAAAATCTGATAAGGGTGAAATTGTAGGGGTCAACAAAATTAAAACCCTTTGGTCCATTTATTCTTGGAAAAATACTCTTTTGCCATAAATGTCACATTTAATTAAAAAAAACTTAGCTAAAACGCAACATTAATTCATTAATTAACCCCATAGTAGGGCCCATCAGGAATCCAGCTGTCAAACATCTTTCATTAGTAAACGTGTCACTTTCTCATTGGCCTTATTATGGGCGGATCCACCAACAGTCACTTCACAGCTCATGACATCAGGGAATTTCGACCACCTAACGCCATTGTCCCACTCATTTCGGTGGATAAACCCTTCCGTCACCGGGCCCCTCCCCCCACACCCCAGGGGTTTCATCAGAAGATGACGAAGAATCACGTGGCTCAGATCATTCGTCCCCTAGATTCACGCATGATATCAGATGATACCTACCTTTGATCCCATCTATACCGCCCACGTGTCCTTCAAAATCCCATCACCAAAAAGCCCAACCCTTTATATACCTTCCCTTCGCTCGCTCACCGGACTTTCCTAGCCTCACAAGGCTCAGCTAACTTACCGACGACGAATGATTTTCACATCCCCAAAATACCCTCGTATTTCCTTCAAATTTCCAACCTGTACTTTCCGCTAAATTGGAAAGGATAAAATAAAAACCAAGTACACTAACGAATCTCAAAGCTTTGGAGGAGGGTGACTGGGAAAATGGTAGAGCCGGTGGCGCATGAGAGCGACGAAGAGCTGTGCCTGTTGCCACATCAGAGCAACGGTGACCGTTCATGGCGTCTGAACTTCGATGGTTTCCAGTTATCTCCTGAACACAAAGACAAAAAGCCTCCTCGGAGCCTCCATGATTGCCTTGGGGTTTTGGGTAATTTCAACCACTTCTTATTTTTTTTCATTGAAGTTAATAAGGTTGGTTATAGTTTATTAATATTCTCCATGGTCGTTTGGTATCTGGGATTTTATTTATTATTTTTAATTACCAATATTCTACCATTTTATGCTTGGTTATGAATTTACTTAGTTGGGTTTTTTTTTTCACTTTTTATGAAAGTTTTTATTTATATATTGTGTGTGGATTGCTGAGGGTTTTAAGGTAAAAATCACTTTTTTTTTATTAAAGTTTTTTCTTTTTGGGTTCTTCAGTTTTGTTGAGTATCTAGGATTTTATTTATGTAGCTTTAGTTATCAATATTCGATCGTTTGTTAGGCTTGGTTAGAAGTTACTCAAATGGGTATCTTTTTTTAAAAGAAACTTGCTAATGAAAGTTAACCTTTTTAGATTTATTCTCTGTGAATGGTTAGTATGAGTTTGAGTTATTCTTCAGTGGTTTTGAGCATCAAATACTTCAATAAATTTAAGAAGGGAATGGTTCATTGTGAGTGAAAACCTTGTGCTTTCTTTTTTTGGTCTTTTAAATTTGAACTCTAGCTTGGGTTATGAAGCAAAAGAGCGATTAAAGCTTGCTGTGTGTTTATCTTGGTTTGAGGAGGTATGGAATTGTTGTTTTTGATGCTGTTTTTATTGTGGCTTGCGCTTTATAGTTTGAGGTTTTGCGAGAAAAACATGGTGAAAAGGTTGCTAATTTTCTTGATCAAGTGAAATTCTGGAGTCCAGTGTGCTTTACTTTGACGTTGATGTTATGTGAATTCTTGTTGTTTATGTTGTTTTCTCCTATTCGAAGTTTGCTTTAATTAGAGGTTTTGCAAGGAAAGTTCGGTAAAAGTTTGCTAGTTTTCTTGATCAAGTGAAAGTGAATTTTGGAAGTTAGGTTCTACTCCCTTTATTAAAGAAAAAAACATGGCCTGTGCGTGTGGGTGTTAATATGGATGACTTGTTTATAGATTTGCTTAATAATTTTTGACACTGTCTCTTTTCTTCTTGATGGCTGGAATTTACACATTGATTTTTTTTCACAATTTTTGTTGAACCATATGCATCAACAGGTGCCTGTACAGCTACCAAGGGGTACAATATTAACCTAATCAACCGACTTTATCAAGAAAGATTACTTTTTTTTAAGCCAAGAGGTTGATAGTGACATCTCGAATCAACTTATTGGTCTTGTAGTGTATCTCTGTATAGAGAATGATACCATAGAGCTGTATTTGTTTATAAACACTCATGGTGCATGGGTAATACAAGTGTATAGATTGAAGTTATGAGATGTTGCCATTAAAAAAAAGAAGTTATGAGATGTCGAGGAGTTTGCTTTTGTCATGTTAGCTCTACTTTGGAAGTGCATCTACTTCAGAAAGAATAAAGATCTTAGCTCTTTAGGAGTAAGCATAAAACATGTATATAGGTTTAATATCATGTTTGAAATTATTAAGTGTTCTTTGCAGATTTTTTTTTTTTGGGTTATTTTTTGCATTTTCTTATGTTATGCATTAGTTATTTTTAACTAACATGTTCTTTACTTTTTTGTATAGAATAGTTTTGCCGTGAGGGGAAAACCAAGCGAGTGGACAAAATCCTTTAGTTGGAATCGAAGATTTTATGCCTAGCTTAGTTTGTGGTCTAAGCGTCTACTAAGAAATGCTCTTTGGTGGTTGTGCCACAGATGCTGAATTATTCTTTAATGACACACTTCTTGCCAATGAACAAAACGAGTTACGAGCATGCATCTTAATAGTTGTCTTTGATCGTTTCAGGTCCAGAAGATAACGTGGCTGAATACTATCAGCAGCAGGTAGAAATGCTTGAGGGTTTCAATGAAATGGATGCCTTGGCTGAGCGTGGTTTTATTCCTGGAATGTCAAAGGTTTGAATCACTGTGATCCCCTCTGTTCTCTATATATAATAAGATAGTGTACTTGAAAAAGCATTTGACTGAAGTTGTTGCTGTGATTGGCAGGAAGAGCGGGAAAAGTTGGCTAGGAGTGAGACATTAGCCATTAGAATTTCCAATATTGCAAACATGGTTCTTTTTGCTGCGAAAGTTTATGCTTCAGTCCGAAGTGGCTCATTAGCTATAATTGCGTCCACATTAGACTCTCTTCTGGATCTTCTTTCTGGCTTCATCCTCTGGTTTACTGCATTTTCCATGTCAACACCAAACCCATATCAGTACCCAATTGGCAAGAAAAGAATGCAGCCACTGGTCAGTTTTCTTGATGCTTCTTCTTGTTGTAATCTAATTCCTTGATCAATGAAGTAGAACTTCCAAGTTAATGGCATATGGCTTTTGTAATTTTATTGTTCATTTTTATCATTTGGGCCACTGACATTTTCTCTAATATCAATTATTTGAGAAGGAATGCATTCTGCATGGTCTAAGGATGGTTTTTAACCTTTGAGTTTTTTTCTATTAAGCAGACATTAATTAATTCATATGATTGCCTATCTCAAGTCACCATTTATATGAGTTCTTTATGAGCAAGTTTTTAGTAACTTAGCAAGACGAATCTTGAAAGGGGAGGGTCATACCACATCTACTGGTTCTGAAGCAGCATTTGATCTGAATTTTACATTCTGAAAGCAAACTCTTAAAAGGCCATTGCTCAAAAAGTAAATTGAGAGGTTACCATCTCCTGTATTACGCTGGCAGGAAGCTGGAGTATCAGCATAGTGGTTGTCTTTTAACATATTTAAACAAGTTTCAGGCTTTGGATTTAGTTGATTTTCTGAAGGCATGCAAGAGTCTCAGCTTATAATTAATTCTAGAACTTAGTTGTTCATGTTGCTTCTTTGATAAGGGATAACACCATGTTGATATAGTGGATGTTTTGATAATGCCTCTGTAACAAAGATATGGAGACGTGAACCTTGCCTCAAGGGGATGCTCTAATATAGCATAGACTGAAAGGCTAGTGATTAGATAGTCAACTGTGAAAAACATATGCATGTAGGTATACAGATACATATGCATCATTGTATTTGCATGTACGCAGGTCCATATGCATGCTTCAGATGGTGTGCAGCTATGGAAGTGTGAGAATTGGTTGATGTATCTCTTCATTCTCCATATAAAGTTTGAAAGTGTTATAGATGCATTATTTTTATGAACTGTTGAAAATGTATTATACTCAAAACTTAAACCTGGTAAATTTTATGCAGGGTATCCTTGTTTTTGCCTCTGTCATGGCAACTCTTGGACTGCAGATAATCCTGGAGTCAGTGCAAACAATGATATCAGATGTGAGTCAACTTGATTATGCATTAAAGTTCTCTTCTTCATTCATTAGATCTTTTATTAAATTAGAGGGTGACTGCTTACGTCTTTGGAATGATAGTGACATCTTTCTTTGTTTTGCTTAGGAGGAGGAATTCAACCTGACGAAAGAGCAAGAGAGATGGGTTATTGGCATTATGCTTGCAGTGACCCTGGTAAAGCTTCTCCTGGTGTTTTATTGCCGTACATTTACCAATGAAATTGTCAAAGCTTATGCCCAGGATCACTTCTTTGATGTTATAACAAACATCATCGGCCTTGTTGCTGCGCTTCTTGCTAATTACATTGATGATTGGATAGACCCTGTTGGAGCTATCATTGTATGTAAAATCTTCTCTCCCTTCCCTGATCCTTTTTTTTTTCAACTATAGATTTTTGGTGTCGGTCTTTTTTGTGCTTGCTGGTGGCATGATTCAATGAAGAAAATAATGTTTTTGTGGTTGTCACTAGAACGGCTAACATTCACCACAATATTATGGCTTGGATTTTACAAAAGCGTTTTGTGTCCTGTACAGATCAAGTTATAGGCAATCATGTTTAAGATTAGTTGAGCACATGGTTTCTAGAGATCTTGAACTGTTCTCTTATGATTAATGTGGGCTGCAAATGCTAAACTACCGCTTTGAATATTTTTCATCTGTTTAAATGCTTTAAAAGACTATGGCAGGTAAGATTGTCATGATATCTATGGTCAAAGAATTCGCTGCTTCATAGATTTTTGGGGCTGATCAAGTTTTGTTCTGATTATCAAATTTGCAAATCTCATTTAACTTAACAAAGTGACCATGCACTTATGAGATAAGCTTTGAACTATTGCAGCTGGCTTTGTACACTATCCGCACATGGTCAATGACAGTGTTGGAGAATGTGAACTCATTAGTCGGAAGATCAGCTGCCCCGGAGTATCTTCAGAAACTGACCTATCTCTGTTGGAACCACCACAAGGCCATAAGACATATCGACACAGTTCGAGCTTACACCTTTGGGTCCCACTACTTTGTGGAGGTTGACATTGTTCTCCCAGCAAACATGCCTTTGCAAGAAGCTCATGATATTGGAGAATCCTTGCAAGAGAAGCTCGAGCTACTGCCTGAGATTGAGCGAGCCTTTGTTCATCTTGATTATGAATACACTCACAAACCTGAACATGCACAGGCACATGCTTGGTAGGCAGAAGCTAGAGAGTCTGATGGTTTGTCTGTGATGCTATATTTTTGTTGGTTATTTTTGTTTCTACCAACGAATTCTACAACTTGTGTATGCTTGGGAAAATTGAGCTATATAAAAGTAATGTAAACTGATGGTCAATATTAATAAAACCCAGATGTTTACTAATTGTAAGCTCCTCCATTAATGCTCTGGTAGGTTTCTTTAACTCTTTGGTGATATCAGTTTTGTAGACAAGGTAAAGTTGAGGATTGATTTAGCCATGAAAGCGGATGTATGGCTTTGGATCTTCAAATATTCACGTGGAGAAATGTGGAAATCACTTCCTTAGAGTCATTGAAAAGTACCAAACTCGGTGACGTTTGTAACTCCAAAGACATTGTAATCAAATGAAGAAAAGTGTTACGCATAAGATTAAGATTCATTTCGTTCATAACATTTTCCTTTACTTAATTATGTAATCCCTTACTTAACACTTGTAAGTGCAACGCTTATCCCAATCTCTTAAATATACATTAAACATGGTATGTACTTACAAGTACAACAAATAATAATATAGTTCAAATTGTTTATTCTTGTTTGATTTTTTATTAAATTAACTTGTCTTTGACAGTTATGTTTTTAAATATCATATAAATCTAAATTTTTTAAAATATTATTAAAAAATAAACAATTATGATGCATATTGATACTTATTTTATTTTCATATAATATCTATCTCGTTATTTCACGATAAAAAAAGAATGTATAACTGGATAAACACTATTAATGTATCTCCATCCATTAATTTTGAATCATAAAATCATTTTAAAAATGATAAAAAAAAGCATAAATTTACAAATTAGGTAAGTAACACCTTTAATTATCTCCACCAATTCTCTTGTTTCAATTAAAATTTCAAAATTGCCTTTGGTTAATATGATGACACATGTGCAATTATCATCCAATTGAATTTATAACAAGAAAGTCAACAAAATCCGAGCCGAATTGAATATTATGTATAGACGAATTTGGATAAAAATTTAATTATTTGTCACGTATCCTTCCTCCATTACTCAACTCCAAATTAAAAAAAAAAAAGAAAAGAGAGAAAGAAAATAATAATGATTTTGGGGCCAGGTAATATTTGTCTGTTTGTCACTTCACTTCGAACTTGCCCTAAAATGAAGTCCATATTCATTTTCTTGTATCTTATATCTAATATTAGTTTATATTCATTCCCAATATTTTATCAGAATCTTTTGCTGCAAAGGCATGGTTGCTACACTAAATTATGACTCATGAATCATGAAACAAAAATGTGAAGGAAAGAAATAAATGATAGCACTAATATATAATTTCATCATCAATATTTTTTTTCCAATGCAATAAAAAAATATAATAATAGTATTAAAAACAACACGTCATGTATTATGAGTCTATATTTTTAATATAAAAAATATATCTAATAAATGTCTATATTTATATATTCAAATTTATCTTATCTCTTGTTGATATGAGATTCATAACATTATATCTTATCTAACTATGTAATGCTCTCGTTGTAATTTAATTTTAGTTTTATATTTTTTATAAAAATCTTATAAAATTTAAAATTATTTTAACATCATTTATCGCAACTCATATTTTTAACTTATAAGACATGAGCCGTTGACACTTAAAAACTTAGCTTTAGGCTTGCAAATGGCTAATTTTTCCGATGAGAAAATTTTTATGTAAATTGTAGAAAGATAGTGTCAATGTTCATGTTAAAATTACAATCATGGGCCCTTTGTTTTTCACTTTTTTAATCAAATTATCATTGAAATTTGATGTCGTATGATATGCCAACTATATTCAACACCATAATTTTGTAAACTGTTTAGATATCATTTGAATCAAAAATAAAACCCTTGACCTCGGCATAAAAATTTATCTTATTCCCACCAAGCATTATAATTAAACATCTTGATTTTAATATTAATTCAATCAAATAGTAAATTTTTACGATTAGGACACAAGAACTTCGATCATTCATTAGTTACCTACCGACCGTGTCAGAGTTAAATCTTAACTTAATCATGGTAATTAACAAAAATAAAAAAAAAATAAATTTTCCAAGTGTAACAAATCGAAAAAACCTTTGTAAAATGGTAAACGCCCACCATTCTATTCCTTCACGTATCTTGCTTTTTCTCTTTAGGCATCTTCTTCATGTCCAATCCGGGCCGCCGGGCCCCGGCTCTATTTTTTTCCCTCTGAATATAGCAACCTGGCCCACGTTCACAACTTCCCCTGCGCCACAAGACTCCACTGGTCATGCCCCGGGCCCCAGGCGCTCATTAAAAGACCACCCCTCCACCTCTCTCTCTCTCTCTCTGCACCCCCGGCTTCCGTTTCTCGATTTACGATGCACCGTTGGTGCGCATGGAGATAAGCTACGCATCTCCGAGTGCCGGCGACTTAACTTACTCGTCTTCCACCTCTTCAGGATCTTCCATGCCGTACCGACCCGTTAAAATTATCCCGCTCCAGCATCCCGATACGACGTCGTATGGGAGCTCGGGAGGTGGTTCTTCTTCTTCGTCGTTTTGGTCTAATTCTTTGTTTTCTGGATGGTGGTCGAAGATCAGGGGGATGACGATTATTGATTGGATCGGGATGGTTTTTCCTTGTTTCTGTTGGATTCGGACGTACAGATGGCGGGAGTATTTACAGGTTGATCTCATGGCTGGGACTACCGTTGGTATCATGCTCGTTCCGCAGGTGATTCCTTCCTCCGCCTTCCCAATAATGAAAAACAAACAAAACTGGAAAAAAGAAGAAAGAAATGATATTGAAAACGTTTTTCTTCGTTTGGTTACTGTGAAAATGAAAAGGAAAATGAAAGAAACGATAACAAAAACGGAATTGCGACTGTTAATATGCCGTCCTTTATGGCACCGTCAACTTAGCTTATTAACGAACTTTTCTTAAAAAAAAAAAATCCGGTTAACGAACTTTTGAATTTATTTTCCGGTTCAGTTTTTTTGATGACCGGTTCAGTTTCAGAAAGCGAAACCTTGCATTTATGATTTCGATAGACATTTGTTATTATTACTACTAGTTAATTTTATTTTTTAATATTTTAAACTACACAGAGGTTTATACCCTGTTTGGTTGCTGAGAAAACATGGAAAACGAAAACCAATAGAAAAAGAAAAAGGAAAATAAGAAGAAGCTTAAGGCTTTGGTAAATTCAGTTAAAGCGCACGTGAGCTAGCATTTACTTTTTGTTGGAATTTTTAGTTTAACTTTTTTCCCATATTTTCTTGGCAACCAATCAGATTTCTTAAGTTTTCGTTTTCCCTTCAGTTTCCGTCATTTTCTAGGCAACCAAAAGGACTTTTTCTCCGCTTATAATTGCAGAGTTTTTATTTTATCTATTCTTTCTCATGCACGTATGGCTCTTAAAGTGACCTGTTGGTTAAATGAAAACACATTACTGTTTCTGATAATATGATTGGATTTTGATGATTGGACTGATTTGATTTCTAGGAAAATGGATTATGGATGCGAAAGTTAAATCCAAAGTATAAAATTACGGGTTATTTATTTCCAGATTACATAAAAGTAAAAGGAAGGATTTACTTCAATCAAAGTGAAAGGATCAGATTCTGCTTTAACTTGATTTGTCGGTGCTCATTGTTTTCGCCAGTGCCATAAGCATTGGATTCTAATTTCATGATTTTGGCAGTTTATCACTTAAAAATGATTCTGAAGTTCCTGGAACTGATAGGGAATCAAATTTTGTGCTACAAAAGATGGGCTTTTGTTTTTGAATTCATGGACCCACCTTTTCTGTTTGATTTATTCACTGTTTGTTAAAGTTATGTAGTATATGAATTTACGACTTGGGGATTTGACTGTTTCTGGTATATGTCACCAGGCAATGTCATATGCAAAATTAGCTGGGCTTGAACCAATATATGGGCTATGTAAGTGACTATCAAATCAAATTCTTTTAGATTCGTTTTATATTAAAGAAGCTTGTTATGAAATAAACGAATATATTTACAGCTCAACTTCACATATAATTGAGTCTTTTTCTGGGTAAAAGAGTACATAATTTTGTAGAAAGGATGAAGTTTTTAAACTGGTGATCTAAAATTTATATCATAGAATGTTGATTCCATGTGGTGTTCGAACAGAGATATGCATCTTCAATGTATGATGAATTCCTAAATCTAAAACTTCATTGTTGCCATTGTGGAATATGAACTTGTCTTTGGCTATTTTTCACTCGTTGGTGGTGTCATATGACAGCTGATTATTGTCTTCTTAAACATTGTCACTTAAATTGCAGTTTATTATTTGTTTTTACTAATCCTGTTTATTTTGCATCTTGTTGACTTGGAATGTTACATGGCACGGCAGACTCTGGATTTGTGCCAATATTTATCTATGCTATATTTGGGTCATCTCGGCAGCTGGCAATTGGTCCAGTAGCATTGGTTTCCCTCCTGGTCTCCAATGTCTTAAGTGGGATTGCTGATTCATCAGATGCATTATACACAGAACTTGCTATATTGTTGGCGCTGATGGTTGGAATCCTGGAATGCATAATGGGACTATTGAGGTAGCACTGATCTTTTTTTGTCATCTGAGATTTGGTTTTGCATGTGCTAGTGACTGATAATTTGTGTATCATGCAATTATATGTGTGTATTCTTCCCAGCCATCTCAAATAGTTATCTCAAGTATATGCTCTTCTTAGAAAAACAATCACCAACCATCAGCAGGTTGAAATGTTGAGAATTCTAATTTTATGCTTGAGAGCATAAAATGCCATTGGCAAATATTCTACTATTTTACAGTTTTCAAACATAATTGAAGGGTAAAATTAGAGTCATCGTAGACTTAACTTTAAAGAGTATTATAGCTTTGTTCTTATATAGACAAGGTCAAGATGAATTACCGCATTTTAATCACCTATTTAGCATGTAGCTTATCCTTTTTCTTTAAGGATGGCAGAAATGGGGAATGAGGGCTTATACTATTTGTTGACTTCAAACTTACCTACTTTTTTCTTTTAACTTCAATGAGGTATTGATACTTTTATTTAAACAATTAAAAAAAGTGCTACGATCTAGAACTTCTGCATTATATACATTCATTTTTTCCATTCCTTTTGCCTCTAAACAGGAAATTATTCATCTACTTTTTCCTCCCTTTTCCAGGCTTGGATGGCTTATTCGTTTCATTAGTCATTCGGTGATTTCTGGCTTCACAACAGCTTCAGCCATTGTAATTGCTTTATCTCAAGCAAAGTATTTTTTGGGGTATGATATTGAACGAAGCAGCGAGATTGTGCCAATAATCAAGAGCATAATATCTGGAGCTGATGAGGTAGTCTTTTGCATGTCCAAGTGGTATTTAATTTACTGTAATATATCCGTATATCGATATATTGATTAAAGAAGGCATTAACCTTGATTCCGAACTTCAAAAAGTTGCATATATTCTTTTGGTTTAAGTAATAAAATTTTGGCTACTTCTAAGATGTACCTTGCAGTGGAAAAAGTTTTGAACTCTTGTCAACTGTGTCCTTACATGTTAGGCATAATCGGTTTTTCTCTTTGAATTTGAATGGTGAAATGGTTGGCCCCTGCAGCGGTGACATTACCATTTGTTTTTTTTCCCCCTGGATGGATGAACTCTAGGAATCTTAAGTAGAACTGGGTTGTGGCTTTGACCCTTCTTGTTTGCTGAACTGTTTGTTAATCTTTGTTTGCTGTCCATGTTGGTTGCATTGTATATAGTGATTATTGTGATACGTGAGACATCCATGTACTTTCCTTCATTTTCAGAAAATGTGTTTTGCTTTCTGCCTACAACTCATTCATTCCTTTCTTTAACACAGGTGGTATTTTTCGTTTTGTAGTTCTCATGGCCCCCTTTTGTAATGGGATCTATAATTCTTATAATACTCCAGACAATGAAGCATTTGGTACCAACTCTTTGCCTCTCTCTCTCTCTCTCCTTGCCCCCTTCACAAATCCCCTTCTATCTTTCTCTTAAACATTTTTTATTTATTTATTTTGTTGGCAATCAATTTGATGTTTCCTGTGTAGGGAAAATCAAGGAAGCACCTGAGATTCCTGCGAGCAATGGGTCCCCTGACAGCAGTTGTTCTGGGAACAACTTTTGTGAAGATATATCATCCATCATCTATTACTTTGGTGAGAATGTTGTAAATTCTTGCTTCAAATTATTGGATATTAAATCAGGCAACATAGTCACAGGAACACTATATCTTATTTTAATTAGTTTAGTTAAATGATACTAGAGCGTATGTTTATATGACAAAAGACATTCTTATAATCAGAGCTGATAAACAATGTTCTATGTTGATTAGGTAGGAGATATACCTCAGGGCCTTCCCAGCTTTTCCATCCCTAAAAGCTTTAAGTATGCAAAGTCGTTAATTCCAACTACAATTCTCATTACTGGTGTAGCCATCTTGGTAAGGAATTATATGACTCATTCTGCTAATATGGAATATCTGCTTTCAATTAGAGTTGTGACTGCTAATGGTAATAGTTCATTTTTTAATCTTAGGAATCTGTGGGAATTGCCAAAGCATTGGCAGCGAAAAATGGGTATGAGCTGGATTCAAATCAAGAGGTATAGATTGTGAAAATGTAGCACTACTGCCTCTATACTTGTTGTCATAATAATTAATCCTTTTCTCCATTAAGACAGGATTTTCTTCTCTATATTATACCACTCTTGCATGCTAATGTGCCTGTGGGTGCCAGGCGTACCCTGCACAAGATCAGACCATTTAGGTCTATACTACATAAGCTGGTGTTGATTTCCTAGCCTTTTTTATTAGTCATTGGTTTCTACTTTTAGAACAAATGAACTACCAGTTTTCAACAGCTCAACTCTCTCTCTATCTATCTCTTCCTCTTCTGGTGTAAATGTTTTGTCAACATTCAAATTTGAATATGTTCCTTGCTGTAGCTTCACATTTAAAAACTTTTTTTTAAAATTTGAACTAATGCAGTTAATGAATGTAATGGTTGTTAGTATACATGATGGTTTGTATACTGCAATATTTTAAGATTTGTGAGGACTAAAAGTTTGATAGGTGTCTCAACTGCATAGCTCACTGCTTAATTTTATTTTCACTTAGGAAAGTTAGTGCTAGTAAACTGTTGTGTTTGCCATATTTCCCCGAATGAAGCCTGTTAATGAATTTTTCCTTCTCTGTCAACAGTTGTTTGGTCTTGGTGTTGCCAATATCTTTGGTTCATTCTTTTCAGCATACCCCACAACAGGTGAGAGTTCTTCCTGGCCTGTTCTTGATTCAGAGCTTGACTGTTTCTGTTGCTTCTTTTCAATTTTATTCTTAACAATTTGTTTACCAAAAAATATTTGTTGCAAACTCAAGTTAACTGAATTTTGTTCTATATGTCATGTAGGTTCCTTCTCCAGGTCAGCTGTGAATCATGAGAGTGGAGCAAAAACTGGCTTATCTGGAATTGTAACAGGAATCATAATGGGTTGTGCTCTTTTGTTCTTGACTCCATTATTTGAATACATACCCCAGGTAAGCTATCAAGTTTGTGCATTTGATTTTGTTCTTGATTCCATTACTGGGAATGCTGCTTAAGCAAGGACTTTTCTCTTGGATCAATTATTACCATGTTTGTACTCTGCCATTATGTCTTTTTCTTCTCACTATGTGAATTTAGTTTGTGGGATCGGTGGACTCATATTTTGGATTTCCTTTTTTGTTGTGTATAGCTCAATTTCATTTTAGTATCATTGCAAGTATCTGGAAGAGGTATTATTATGAATACTAAGCATGGTTATGTGCGCTTCATTGCCTTTGCAGTGTGCTCTGGCTGCTATAGTAATCTCTGCTGTTATAAGCCTGGTAAGTAAGAGACAAGCCTGTGTTAGAACATTGTTCAAACTAGATTATGCTGCATTTATGCTTCAACGAATATTAGACCATACAATTTACTGTTTGCGAAAAATGTCTCAAATCAACTAGAGCACAAAAAAGATATTGCATAAAGTATTTGATATGTTTTATCAGATCTTACATTGAAATTTGTTTCTTCCGCATGTTAATGATTTCAGGTAGATTATGAAGAGGCCATTTTCTTATGGCGTGTAGATAAGAAAGATTTTCTTCTTTGGACCATTACAAGTACTACGACATTGTTCCTTGGAATTGAGATTGGTGTCCTTGTTGGGGTAAGTACTTTCGAAACAGCTGCATTAACATGCATGGGTTTCTTATGCCAATCAACATTATGTTTTTTCAGCATTTTTATTTTTACATACTAAAAGTATGCATCTGCAGATTGTATGTGGAATTTTGCTTCAATTCTTTATCCTCATACTCATTATTATTGTTTTTTTTTTAAAAAACAATCTATTCGCCCTGATTTTAAGTCCAAAGGTTGAATTTCACTCATGACCTGAGTCTCATATTAGGTGTAATTATAATTTGATTTTGATATTCCAGGTTGGTGTTTCACTTGCCTTTGTCATCCATGAATCAGCAAATCCTCATATTGGTAAGTGGACATCACCTACATCATGTCTTTAATTGTCATGTCCTATGTGCATATTGCATTTTTTCCTAGCATTTCAATTTCCACTTTTTCTGAACTTAAGATGATCTGAGATTGTTTTTGTCATCTGTTGTTCTCCTAATTGATGATGACAATTTACTTCATTATCTCTTTAACAATACCCAATCCCTTAGATTATCTATCAGGATCAACTTCAATATTCCTTGTCACCTTTCCAAATCTGCACGTTTACATAAGCTGTTGTGAAATTTTAATTTTGCCTTTCCTTTCCTTTTGTCCACTGGCACTTCAAGCTGCACATTGTGGACTTCAGTAATAGTTATTTCAGTTTTACACTGCCCTTTGCTTGAGACTACAAACAATTGAAGTTCTGAGCACTTGTTCGCTGAAAACATATGCTAGGAGTTCAACATGGGCAAAAAACCTGTAGTGTGGGTATTATTTAAATAAAAAGGGTTTCCTTAGTTACTCCGTTTGGCACTGAAAATTGATGCTAGTAGTTGAACATGGTATAGCTTTGTCGTTAATCACATTTGGGTTGATATTTAAATTATTCGCAATATGCTTGTACCTTAATCTGCCAAGTATTTAACAAAATGGAAATATATTGCAGCTGTCTTGGGGCGTCTTCCTGGCACCACTGTTTACAGGAATATTCAGCAGTATCCAGAAGCATATACTTACAATGGAATTGTGATTGTTCGTATTGATGCACCTATCTATTTTGCAAACATAAGTTACATAAAAGACAGGTGAAGATTCACGCTTTCCTCAATTAATAAACTGGCTTTGGTACCTCGCATCTTTGAATTCCTTTGCCAAAATTTTTTACTTAAACATACTTTTGACATCAATTTGAGAATTTAAATTTACAATGTTGATTCATCTGTCAGGTTACGAGAGTATGAAGTTGTGGTTGATAAATCAACAAGGCGTGGACCAGAAGTTGAAAGAATTTATTTTGTGATTTTGGAGATGGCACGTATGTCTTATTTATACCACGAACAGTTCTCATCATGTCCTAAGATGATCATTTTGTGCCCAATGCCTAATTGCTTGTCAGAAAGAGGCATTGCTTATGGTTTCATAGTATTAAATGTATCTAGTCATATTTGGGTGATTTGGGGTTCCTGAAGTATCTAGAGACGCTACAGAACTTTTTCTTTCTTCTCCTGCATTAAATGAGATCTTGTTGACACAGTGCAGTTTCTTATAAGCCAAATGTTCCTTTGATTCTATTGCAGCTGTCACATACATCGACTCTAGTGCTGTCCAAGCCCTGAAAGACTTGCACCATGAATACAAATCACGGGATATCCAGGTTGAGTACTCTTATTGATTAAGTGTGAATGTTTTAGGCTGACTATGAGCTTTAAGTAAAACTTCTAAGACATGAATCTTTTGCAGATAGCCATCTCCAATCCAAACCGGGAAGTCCTGTTGACCTTATCAAAATCCGGCGTGATAGAGTTGATTGGTAAAGAGTGGTACTTTGTGAGAGTGCACGATGCAGTCCAAGTTTGCCTCCAGCATGTTCAGAGCATAAAAGAAGCTTCCAAGACATCAGATCCATCACCTGAGGAAAAACCAAGTTTCTTCCAGAGATTTCTTAAACAGAGAGGGGAGGATGTATTAGTCGCAAACCTAGAGTCAGGTAGTAGCAATCCTTCGGATTCAATGCACAGTGACCCCCAACTGGAGCCGTTGTTGTTCCGAAAGCCTTGAGACTTGCCTGCTCCTGAAGCAAATAGTATGGCAATGCCATTTTTTAACAAGGCATTTCCGATACAGGGACTGTTATTCAATTGTTCCATTTGTAAAGGTCGATTGTTTATTTCAAATGTACTGGAAAAAGGAGTGAAAATAAAAACAAAAATGGGGAAAGGGTTTGATTGATTCCTTGCAAATAGGTTTGTTTGTTGTAAAAGGGAATGCAATCAAGTAAAGATTAGGAGTAAGGACTTCAATTCTTGTATGCATTGCTTCCGAACCAGATTGTACCATTAATCTATTTATCTTATTTGTTAGCTATGTGAAACTGCTTGATTCTATCATTACAACTGCATTTTTAACTTGATATATCAATTTTTTTACTCGAGAAAAATAACGTTTTCTAACAATAAACACATACGTTATCACGGATTCAAATATTCGTTTGAATATGAAACCCATTTTCAATTTCCTACACAATTTTCTTTGCACTACAAAAGATTTCGATTACAAATGACAGTTTGAGAGGATTGAAAGGGATTACTGGTACTTCTCTTAGTTGGTGTTATTTGTCTCCCACATCGACAGGGAGTGGTACTGATGTTGCATGGTGTTTTTTAAATCCCATATCGAAACAGCGCAGCCAAGCCAGACCCAGTTGGCCTAAATAAATACGACGCAAGGTGCAACTGAGAAACTTGCCTTAAACTAATGAGTAAGGAAAACAAAGCGAGCGGTGGGAACCGTTTGCCGCGCCCAACCTATATGGTGCGCAAGAATTTGTGGAGGGGCGATAGGCTGGCCGAGTGCTGACGCTGCGCTTACTTTGTGCAGAACTCGCTCGGGCGGGCCTCCCAATCCAATCCCTAATTATTTGCAGCCAATTTTAGCCCTTCAGTTAATGAAAATTATATCTTATCTAATGAATCTAGAGAAGGTTGGAGAATTATTGGAAATTTATGCTAACTGGACAAATTTTTTGTCAATTGTCTCAAAATTAATGTGTTTTATCACCGATTATACGTTCAAACTTCAATCCATTATAAGATATCATTGATTACAAGATTTTGAATCGGTTATCCACGAATATCCAGACTAACCGATTATGATATATTGAGAATATCTGAAACGCGAATAATAACTCTAACCGATTATGAGATATTAAGCTGGTTATTCACGATGATCTGAAACTCGAATAATAAGTATCATGGATGGTGTAATTTGCTTGCTTGGGGAAAAAGTTGGTAGCTCGATTAAAGATGGTGTAATTCATAGTAGTGATAATTTGTAGCATGGAATTGCTATCACATATCTAATCTCTAGTACCATTCCACCATCAGAGTTGACACTGATTACAACTAAGGAATCACTAAGAAATCTTTATATTATATCTAATTTGGCATTTTAACTTAGAAATAATTTGGGTTTCTACAGTCAGTTTGTTTTTTTCTTATTCTTTTCTTTCTATTCAAAACATTTTAATCAATGGAAAACTTTCTCTTCTATGTATTTCTATCAGTCTCTATCAATGTGAATTGCTGTTAGTACATTTTAATTTTTTTCTGATATTTCAGATAAAATCTCAATTTGATATTGTGAAAAATTAAAAGTGAATAAAAAACTCTTTTTTTATTCTGTTTTATTTTATTTTTTAATGAATTGCATAGTTTAATCTATTTATTTGCTGATATTACATTTTAATGAACGAGAAAAAGACATAAATTGTAGGGAATATTTTGAATGAAATATCATTTTCTCTAATAAAAGATTAAAGGTGGATTAATAAATTTCTACCATTTTTCTTTTTCCATCTTTGAGCAAGGGAAACAATCAGATTGCAAACTCAAAACCAAATTCTTTTTCTATTTTGAACATGGTTTCACATCAAGTTGGAGAATCCTGCTCTATCTTACCGACAAAAGTCCTTTGCTTAGGTAAAATGGGCAAAAAGTTGCTGTCCCAAATTAAAGATCAAATTATTCATAGTACTAATAACTTGTACTATGGAATTCCCATCACATATTTAATCTTTAGCATTATTTAGTGTCACGAAAAAAATATTTTTATCTCATATTAGATAAAAACGGGAGATCTTGAATTTTTTATAAGTGAATAGGGGGTGTTTGTGAGGGAGAGTAATGATGTCGTGACACCAGGACCTACCTAGACCCTTTCTTTTTTATGTCCCAGGAGTTCCTTGACTTGACACTTTGTTTGCATCTGACCTGAGGAATCAATAGGAAAGTTCCTTGACTTGATACTTTGTTTGCATCTGACCTGAGGAATCAATAGGAAATTAAAATTATCTATGTTAATGAATGACTGATTTGGTACAAGGCAAACAGACAATGCTTGGTTTGAGTTGAATTCACTTACTAAGAAACCACTCTTGGTCATTGTCTGTATCTTACAACCTGATTGAGCTGTTTATTGTTTGGATTGTAAGGGGAATGGATCCTTTGATTTTCAATGGTTCTAACATATGGGTAAAAATTCTGAAGGCTTTTCTTTGAATTGGATCCTTTGATTCCTTTTCATAAATATGGACAAAGACTTCCTAGAGTTTGACACTGTGTTTGCTACTGACTTGAGGAAATCAATAGTAAAATTTTTGTTTTCTTTGCCATTTTTCACCTGGAAATAATTTAAGCTGCTCCTTTTCTACAAAGTTCTTTGCAACTTTCCTGTGGATGGGTGATTTAGCAGTTTCATATAAAGTTATAGGACAGGAGTGGCAGCCTATTATCTTCAGCTGTCGTAAGAAAAATGAACAACCCAACCAGGAAAAGGTTTACCTCACCCTATCGATATTTAGTTGTCTTCAGCATTTTGCCTTTATTTCTGGTATTTTGTTTCCCAATTCTTATCTTTAGCTGACATTATACGTTACATATATAATTTTGGATTACACAATGAGATTGTAAGGTGCCCCTTGGGAAACATGTTATATGGCATGTGAGGTGTAAGCCCCTTCATTTTCTTTCCCTTTGGACTCTATTCCAATAGTAAGAATCATGCAATATCATTTTCTTTGTCCCTTACTGATGTTTCTAATGTCATCTTTTGGATTTTATGGGCACCAGGTGCAGTTGTTTCTCTTCCTTTGGGTGGTAAATCTCTAGCTTGAAAGAGAGCCATTTGCCTACTGGAAACTGAACATAATTAATACTTCTGCATGCTATAGGGGATTGGATAAGCTGCTCAGCTCATCCACTAAATATGGATCATATCTAATTTCACCCGCCTGGTTTTATCTCTCAATTTGTGATCACAAGCAGATGAAAGAGCAACCAGCTGCTGTCCTTCACAAACTATACACTTTAAATTATAGTCTGTGTCCCCTTCTCTCTCTCTCTCTCTTTGAATTGGAAAGGGTAATATCCGAATTCAATTTTTTGAACAAAAGATACATATGTCATGATTGAGTCAAATGTTTGGATTTCTCTCTATGTTTTGTATGTTTGTATGTGACGAGATATATATATTCACCTGTAAATATATAAAAGTATTACATTTTAATATTTTATATACATACATGTATATGTATATATGTAGAGATACTTAAGACAAAGTCAAGTTATATAAAGAAGTTGTAAATTAGACATCCTAGTGAAACATTGAAAAGTTTTGTCATTTTAAGCAATTTAACTATGATAATGTTTCATCTCGTCTGGCTAATGATTAATGCTTAGGCTGGACTTAAGCTTGTTGATGTAGGCTCAAACCCTATTTTGGGAACATAATTAAATAAAACCAATGATAATAAATTATTTATTTTGGTAATATATAGTATATCAATAAACAAAATCAATGTAATAAATCACGATTTCAAAGTGATCGGTTTATAAAAAAAAAAACAGTATTTTAAAGATAGATTCAAAAACTCGAAAATAGTTGATTAAGTAAATTTAAACTACGAAAGATATGATTTTTGTTAATACGAAGAAAATTCATAGCTTTGTCTAAATAGTTACCCTCTACTGTTGAATAGGATATTTCGCCTTTACCAATTGTTGTGGATAAAAAGGTTGTACCTGGAAAATTCAATGGAAGTGGTAATTACTTTGGGTTCTTGATTCTGAACCAATGAGGGATGGACACGTCATGGAGCTCAATCTGAAATGATATCAAAATCATGGCTATGTGGTTGCGTAGGCGCCTCCATCTTTTACCATGAGCTACACATGCTGTCGATCTATATTTTGTAATTATTGGATCCCTCCCTTTGCCGGACCACTCATGACAATGGCTTTGATTAGACAACAGTTTGCCCTTTTTCTGCTTCTCCAAAATCAAAACAAATATACATATATTTGCGTACGTGTGGATAACCTTTGCAACTGGTTCTTGAATGGATGCAAGTAGGCATGTATTCTGAAGAAAATATCTCGGGGGGAAGGGAAAGGGTCTCATTTTGTTTCAGTTTTTAGTTTATTTTGTCATGGACAACTGCCCAATGAATTATTGTTGTGCATGGTGGAGGGGAATTTGGTGATGAAGTAGAGGAAAGGAGACAAAGCTGTCAGTAATTCCAGATCAGGACAGGGTTTCTGATACGCCAAAAGGTAAAACTTTTGAACTGAGTGCTCTCTCTCTCTTCTTTTCTACTATCCTGTTTTGAGTCTAGAATTCTTGTACAAGGTAGGCCATGTTTAATTTTGAGTTGGGATTTCCTAGGTGATCATCTGACATATATAGCTAGGCTGCTGCAAATTCTATGCATGGTAAAACTTCACCTAGCCTGGTTAGCTTGCATGTAGGAGGATATTACAGGATCCAGTGTCTATCTCACGTCCTTTTACCAATCAAGTTACACAGTTTAAATGGAATACATTGACTTGGTCCTGGCGAAATAACCATGGAAGGTAATCAGAGTGTCACAACAACAGAAGGAATAAAAGCTATCAATCGAAATTAATTATAATAAGATCCCGAAATTTGTAGGGGCCGGCCTAGTTCTCGCATTGAAAAGCTAAACCAGCCACTGAAGGTGATTGGGAGAGCAATTGAATGCATTTTGTGCTCTTTAGAGCAAATACCTGAAAGAACCCAAGCTTTCGATTGCTCTTTCCTCAACAGAATTATTGCAAAGCCACATCACAGCATGGGCAGGTTTTGTATGCTTCTGAAAACCACAAAAAAATCATGCTAGATGTTTGATTAAACAAAAAAGGGTTGGCTCAATCGATCAGTACATTCGACTGTTTCCATGTAAATGATACTACTACCATTAATGGTCCCCTTTGTTGATAGCTAATTTTCAATGCACGATACCTGCAAAGTACAACAGGAACAAGGACCCAGCTACATATAGCTGGAAAGACATGGAAAATGAAAAACAGTCCTTCAATAGTTTCAGCAGGGGGAGGGTTTGAGTTGTGAGAGGTTGTAGCGAAAGGGAGTGGATCATTCAGGGAACTGCTCAAGGATTCCAACTGGGTGTAGCTGGGTTTGTCTGTTTGGAGGAATTGTAGAGCGGTTAGGACCCACTTATCACGTGGAGGGGGATTGCCTAGCTGCAAATCCTAGAAGACAAAGAAATGGTCATTTACAAATCTCCTCTAATCTCCTCCTAGCCAATTATCATCTATCTCCCACGTGGGGCTGCTGGACCCATCCTCCCCCTTTCGGTTTGCCCTATATTTATTCTCTTGTGCACCCCCCAAGTTTGCTGCTTCCTATTTGCACCAGGATCACTTTCTTGATTCATCAATTACTTTCCCCATTCTCTTTTTTGAGTTTCGCAAGAAAAAAGAGGCAAGAGTTTGGTTCAGGATCAAGGGTATCATAAAGCATGGGGGATTCTTCATCATCATATATTCACCTGGTGATTCTATACTACAATCTGATATCCTATTTGTTAAAATTAGAATACATAGATACATATTGTTTTTCATTTTGTTGGTGCTGATGCTGTAATTGTTGCAGGTGCAGCATCTGATTGAGAAGTGTTTGATCTTCAACATGACGAAAGAAGAGTGCATGGAAACACTCTCCAAACATGCAAACATCAAGCCTGTCATCACTTCTACTGGTTCGTTCTATTTCTTTTCCTACTCTTTTCTTTTTCAATCCTGCATGCACCAAAAGAGAAGAAAATCACACATGCATACAGAAAACACACGCACGAAAGAGCTGTTGTATGATTTGAAATGAACCTGAGTAGGCAACAAAAACTCGCAAACATGATTTGCCAGTTTTGACTTTGCTTATATTATCTGTAATGTACTTCTGATGCAGCTATAGCCAGCGATACAAAGAACCTGTCAATCTGTATAAAATTCTGCTTTAGCTGGGGTCTGTTTCTTCTCATATCTTGATCTATCGACCTAACGAAAAGTCAACCTCTGATCTGATAGAGCCAGTAAGTTATACTATAAGTGAACCTGGCAACCCAAGTAGGTTTCTGCTTTAGCCTTTGCTATCTCATACCATGATCAGCTGAGAGAACCTTTGATCAAGTCAAGCCTGAGTATATAGCCTTCTTGTCAAATCAAGCATCTTCTGCTTAAGCTTGGCTCTTCTCAATATTTCATGATCCTGAACCCAATACTAGAACACCAAGTAAACAATTCAGGGTCTCATCTCTGTCTAAAATTTCAACATCGCTTTCTCAGCTTGACTTTATTGGGTTTTCTTTTCTCTTGGTTTTTACGTGAAGAATAGCATACATGATTATGCTTAAATGGTAATTGTGTTACAGTTTGGAATGAACTTGAAAAGGAAAACAAGGAATTCTTTGAAGCCTATGCACAATCCCAGAGCAAACAAGACCGAATGTCCACGGAAGAGACCAGTCAAATGATCCAGAAGATGATCTCGGATTCCCCTAAAGACCCCGACGAATAACATTGCCCCTCGAAAACGATCTGTCGTTGGTGTTCTGGTTGGTAGTTAGCCCTCTCCTACACCCCTAAGCTCCTCTACACATCCAGCCAAACACTACACAGCACAAAATTTAATTGAGAGTCCTTTCAACCTTTGAAAGTGGTCCTATTTCACATGTTCAATACGGAAGATCACGGCGCATTATCAGGGTCCCCTTTCAAATAAAATCTAGACTACCCTATAATTGAATATTCAATAATTACATACCATGCCATAATGTTGTGTCAACGTCTTAGGAAAAAATTTCGAGGAACTGCACGAAAGGGTATTCTTGTAATTTCATTATCTTCGTCGCATTTACTTTGCTTACTGTATATGTACCTATGTGCTGAATGATGATTCGATCATTATGTATGTACTTATATGAAGCGCTGAAGATTGTATGAATCTTTTCCTCTGTGCGAATAGAAGGGATTGCTTTGGTTTCTTATGCTAAAGAAAAGGGCGGTGGCAGCATCTGGAATCCGTGTCTTCCTGTGTTTCAGCACAAAATTTTTTTGGCTCTGTTTTGTCTGATAGCATATGTGGCTGGTTCTGGCTTTCGTATGTTAACATTATTGTAGAGTAAAATAAAAAACAGTGGGAACTCCTTGCATCCTGGTCACAGTCATGAATTTTTTGATGTATGTGAAGGTGATGTTTACGGTCCTGGTCGAAGCCAGTGGTCTGGAATCATCCAGTGTCTATCAGGGTATTCAATGTAATGTTTCTTCTGGCATTAAATGAATGGAAAGTTCAGTGATTAACACTTAAAACAGGGGCAGGAGTGTGCAGTTTGCATCTGACAATGATTGTATGATCATGCTCAAGTACCTCAAAACAACTTTGGACCACCCCTGGAAGGCAAATGCTCTGCTCCCACCCTAGGTTATGTGTATTCTTTCATTTGTTGTTGTGCTAGTGGTCTAGTTGTTTTCTGATATCTGATGAAGGGTCAGTTTTTTTTTCTCTTAATTCATGTTGAATATTGTCCTTCAATTTCTCTCTGTTTAAGATAAATTCATAACTTCCAATCTAAGCCAACTACAACTTTTCTCCACTAACAATCTATCTATACTTGACCTAATGGTTTGCTATCCCTCCATCAGAACTCAGAAAAGTGCTCAAATATAAAACAAGTCAGCGTGAGCAAGAGATTCTTGCCCAGTTTTAAGGTCTGCCTTGTAGGGGTATGTGACCTGATCTATTCCATGATTACATCATCTTTTTTGGAAAAATATCTCCCAAGAACAAGCACACAACTCCCGTACGCACTCACAGAGAGAGAGAGAGAGAGAAGAATTGACACTTACACAATTTTAATATCAGACCCAAATTTACGAATTATTAGCAAATACCATGGATACGATAATGATAGATCAAAACATTTATTCATAAGTGAAGCAACCAGTCTTCATCTGGTTTTTACATAAAGTCTTAACCACTTACATACTCTAGATTTTAAAAAGCTTATAGTTTTGAACTAGTTCATCCATTGACCTTAGGCGCCCATCCAGCAATCACGAATTCCTTGGCAACATTTGTTTTCACAAAGGACTCTCTAGAGAAAACCAACTGCAATGCAAGATAAAGGAAATATACTTGACCATTAGTCAAAAAATAAGTAAATTTTCTTCTATTCAGAGTCAATATTAGCATGAACACATGCCAGCATAAAGACATTTAAAGATACAAAATTAGAAACAAAGGAGATATTCATTAAAGATAAAAGGGTCAGGAAAAATATTGCCCCAAATCATTGAGCATTCATCAATTAAAACCATTATGTTAAGCCAAAAATTTAAAAGGACTAGGATCCTCAAACTCGGATAAAAGAGCCGCTTCATTCCTACCATCTAGGATTACAGTTTTAGCCGCATCATGACATGCTTACCTAGTTACATTATACATATTTTGTGCCTTATGACAGAGGCAATACCAATTCAGCATGATTACATAGCCATAATCAATGATGACTATTTCCAACTCGCAAGCAATATGCTTGATTGCATAAAGTGGAAAAGCTGCTTAAGGTAATCACAAGAACCAAACTAAAGCTAGAATCTGAGCCAGACAGTCAGTCATATATAAGTGTATTTCTAGAACAAGCACCTCTTCAAAAATCAACTGCAGAGGCCATTAAAGGTGAGAGATGATAAATAAGGAAGTAAAATAGGACCTAGCTAAAGGACACCAAGCCCAAAAATGAAGGGCTTTTTGCTCCCGTTTCTTCGGGTGCCCCCGCTCTGCCTCTTTATGGTGTATTGGGGAGGTATGCTCTCTATTTGCCTTAGTGCATATCTAAAAAACCCCCTTCTGATGCATTTGTTTTTGCTACCTTACAGGTGGGAACCCTTTCATTCCCCCCCAGGTTTAATGAGAGCTGCTCTTTAATTCTCAAAAAAAAAAGAAAAAAATCATGATGATCCTTAAATACAAGTATGACATAGTTTTCATTATTCGTGTCATGACATGAGCCTGGTAATCATACCTGCTTTTACAAAGAAGGCAGCAGAAGTTCTTTCTGATTCTTTTAGAGGTGGTGGGGGCTTGGGCCTAAGTCATGATAGAAAAGCTTGATGTTGGGAATCCCTCAGAATCATGAATTTACGTTCTAAAGTATCATCATTGGCATTTATGTTCTGTTATATCGAGCCAGCATTATGTTCTTTTGAAATGTATATAGTCACTGAGGTATATCATGCCACATTCTGTTGTAGCTACCTCCTAACCTACAACATTACTACTAATTATGTGTGTTATAATACAATAAAGCTTCAAATCACCACAATGATCCAGATAGGATTGTAACTAAGGTGATACAAGAACTACAAAGACCAGTGTAAACCAACAAAGTAAGCATCCTGAGAAGAAGGTTGTCATACTTGATGGAATGTGCATGCCAAAGACGGTCCCTTATTGAACAGTTAAAATCACTAATTTTTTCTTTTTTTTGCAAAAAAAAAGCAGTGAATCATGCACAAATATGTTGATTGATGGTTCAGTAGCTGCATACCTTCAAGTAACTGTGGACACAAGTCAAGCTTTCTGGAATAGTCCACTTCTTGAAATGGCCAAGAGCAATTTCAAGATGATAGAGCTTTGGCCCCAAACTTAAATCAGCAGCAGTTATCTTTTCCCCAGCAATAAATGGTCCCTGATGCACATGGTAAAATATATGAAATTAAACCATGAATCTACACACAAAAGCGCTTCAAATATATAATATATTACTATCACTTACCTGACCCTTAAGATGCTCGTCCAATGCCTTTAGTTCATTAAGCAAAGCCTGCTCAGATCCATCATTTGCATCCTTGCTCTTCAAAAATGTGATGAAAGCTCCAAATATTTTTGATCCTCTGCAGTCACACAGTGAATAATTAGTTGAGATTTTTCAAGAACAAAGTGCTTAGTAAAATTCTCTAAAAACAAAATAACTCCTATCAATAAAACCATTCCCTTTTTTTAAAGCCAAAGATTGACAAATATTCCTGACAACACAAGATAAGCAAAATATGACAAAGAGAATCAACTCTATTCTTTATATTTTCAAGGTAACTATTCAAATGGTATCAGTCACAAATCAAAAACTAATCACAAAATTTCAGAGGGCAGAAGAAAACCAAAACGATCAAATGTTTTCAGGATTAACTCAGATAATCGAAGTAGCAAGAAGTATAATAAACATATATTATAAAATCAAAAGAAATTAATATAGTATTAGTATAACTTCTCAGTAGAAACACAAACTCATAAAACTGTTAACAAAAACACAGTACACCAAGTAACTTAGAGATAACTCAAATGAAAGAAAAGGGAAGACGAGGGCAGCATACACAGAGGCAAATTCAGGTGGTGTTTTTAGAGAAGGCTCAGGGTACTTCTCTTCAAGAATTCCAACAATCACGTCAGAGTCAGGCACCCATTTCTCATCAAACTTCACCACCGGTACCTTTCCTTCTGGACTTATCTCCAAGAACCTATCAAAATCAAATCAAATGAAAAATCACAAACTTCAAAACCCATTTGCTTAAACATTCCAAACAACCCATCACCACAACCAAAAAACCCAAAAGTTCACACCTTTTACAGTCAAAATCACAAATTTACAGCAAGCCATCAGCCCAAACACTCCAAACTACCAATCACCACAAACAAAAAAAGCCCCCCCAAAGTTCACAAATTTAGAGCTACACATTTGCATTAAGCAGTCCAAACAACCCAGCATCACAAAAAGACCTCACAGTTCACACTTTATATAAAAGTTTACATCTTTTATTATCTGATATATACCATTGAGGTTTGTCACTGAGATTGACGAGGTGCATCTTGTAAGGAACTTTCTTTTCCTCCAAAGTAAGAAGAACCCTTTGGCAAAATGGACCTGAAAAACACAAAACAAAGCAACAAAATTTCAATTCAAATTTAAAACCCAGAAACAAGACCACCCAAAGAAAAAAGGAAAAACATGACATACAGTCTCCAAGAACATCAGGAGCGCCGGCAGCAGCCTTGACACAAATCTCCAAAGCCATTTTTCCTAGAGAAAGATTTGGCAATTTTGGTTACTAAAATTCCTGTGGAACGACGGAGAGCTTTGAAGGCATACAGTAAGCAAATGGCAAGTTGGCAGTGGTATTTGAGCTTGGTGTGGTAGTAAATAACTCCAAATTTTTGTTAGTGTGATATACGGACCTGATCAAAAGATCATGTTCGACAGCCCATCTTACTTAATTGGGATTAGGACCAACAATGGTATATTCTATCTTTCTGAAAAAGTTAAGAAAGCTACTTATTATGCCTCCGTGAAGTTCCTTCCTTTATTCATTCACCTACTCATTAACATGGTCATGGTTTTTGCCAAGTTCAAGGTCGACATTGGTTTTCCCCAAGCAACGTGGCCAATGTAAGGCTTCATATAAGCAATACTTTCTCAGAGAGAAAGCATACAAATAAGGTAGGTGGATCAGATCATCTGAATTATTTACTTATATATATATATATATACACGCTATGTTAGGATTACGAGTATTTACTCCATGACCCAATCTCATTGAAAACTACTCATGGGGAAAGGTGCAATCCATTGCAACATAAATCTGGCCCATGATGGAAAATGGGTTCTCTAATTTCTGATCGTTATCTTCCTCCTGGAGGAGAATCACTTCTTTTGTCATTCTGACAAGAAGCCAAAAGCATTCATGACTTTTGCTAAAGTGGGATTCATATATCATTGTCTTTGCACCCCACGTTCTCTCCTTTTCTAAAATGTCACTAACTTTTTATTGGATGATTGATTGTTTCTCTTAGCATTTTCAAGTCCTATTTATTTTTTATTATTAATAGATCCACAAAGTGATTAAATTAAATATAATAAATAAATTACATTCAAAATTTTAATTTATTAATTAATACATAATCTCTATATTTAAACAATAAATTTAAATTCCTCTTCTCTTAATTTTAATATATATTTATAATAAATAAATTTAAATGTGTGCGCCTTTATTTTTTTTTTGAAATTTATCGAGATTCCAAATTTAATTGAGATAGGATTTTTTAAAAATTCGTACCTGATTTGGATAAGTATAAGTTATTATTTTATTAAATAAGATTACATTTAAATTTTAATATATAAAAAATAATAATATTTTTATAACGAAACATGTGTATCTAGAGCTAAAGGGATAGATTGGAGGTTATCTTTGAAACAGCCAAATCAGATTGAGCCCACTTTGAACTATCCAACAACACATATAGCCTATTTAACATACTTACGTGTGTATGTATATATATATATATTATTTAAAAAAATTTTAAATTTTATTTATTAAGTAAGAAAATTATAAATTAATTAATAAATTAAATATTCGAGGGTTATATATATATATATATATATATATATAAAAGGTTACTCATGTACATTTTAAGTGGGGCGTTGATGAATAATTTCTTATTTTAATTTTTATTTTAGAGTTTGCACTTTATGAATTTGGGGCAGGATTTATTAAAAATTTGATTGCCCTTTAATTTTTTTATAAATAATTTGGAAATTACGATATTATTTTTTTTATGATTTTCAATTTATGACAGATTTCGTCTTTTAAATCTTTTGAGTATTAAATTTATATATTTTATACGTATGGGTAATTTTAAAAATTACCGATTTCTCTTTTTATTAAAAAAATAACTTTATCACGTTCGTACTTAACTAATTAAATGAGTCAAAATTTTTATCTAAATTTTTATAAATATAAAAAAGATAAGAATTTAGAGACGAAATGAGTGATATTATAAGAAAAATAAAAGTATGAAATACAAATAAATGGTCGAAGACAAAGAAATGGTCATATTTGCAAACCATACCTCCTCTCATCCCCTCTCAGCCAATCATCATCAATCTCCCACGTGGGACTTCTGGACATATCTCCCTCAGCCTCCCCCTCATGGTTTGCCTTATATTTCATTCTCTTGTGTACCACCAAGTTTTCTGCATCATGTTTGCACCAGGATCACTTCCTTAATTCACCATTTATTATTCTCATCCTCCTTTTTCAGTTTCACAAACAACAAGAGTTTGGTTCAGGATTCATGGGGGATTCTTCATCATCATATATTCACATGGTGATTTTATACTATAATAATCTGATGTGCTATTTGTTAAAATTACAATATATTGACATATATATTATTGTTTTTCATTTTGTTGTGTTGACGTTGTAATTGTTGCAGGTGCAGCATCTGATCGAGAAGTGTTTGATCTTCAACATGACCAAAGAAGAGTGCATGGAAGCACTCTCCAAGCATGCAAACATCCAACCTGTCATCACTTCTACTGGTTCGTTTTTTTCCTTTACCAACTCTTTCTTTTCCAATCCTGCATGCACACACAGAGAAAAACACGCATGAAACTGTCAACCCAAGTAGGGTTCTGCTTTAACCTTAGCATTCTCATACCGTGATCAGCAGGGACAACCTTTGATCAAGTCAAGCCCGAGTCAAACAACCTTACTCACACCATGCTGGTTTTTTACGTTAAGAATATCATACATGATCATGCTTATATGTAACTCGAAACATGTTAATTGTGTACAGTTTGGAATGAACTTGAAAAGGAAAACAAGGAATTCTTTGAAGCCTATGCACGATCCCAAAGCAAACAAGGTCGAATGTCAGAGGAAGAGACAAGTCAAATGATCCAGAAGATGATCTCGGATTCCCCTAAGGACCCTGACGACTAACACTTCCATCTTAAAGGTTATCCCTTCCGTGTTCTGGTTGGTAGCTGGCCCTCTCCTCCACCACCCGCCCTCCTTCAACTTCCTTCAAATCCAGCCAGACAATATAGTGTCTTTATTGAGAGTCCCTTTGGACCACCCCTGAGGTGGTCCTATTGCACATGTTTAATAAGGAAGACCATGGAGTATTATCATGGTCCCCATTTCCAAATAAAATCTAGACTACCCTAAAGCGAATAACCAATAATTAGATGCCATGTCATCATGGCATAATCAATAATTACATGTCAATGTAAGCAATTCGAGGAAAAATATGAAGGAGAGTAGTCTATATGTGTGATATATATACACACACAAGATAAATATATACAAAGGATAGTTATGGTTTTCTATGATGAAAGAAAACAGAGGTGACAACATCTGGAATCTGCGCCATCCTTTGTTTCTGCATAAAATTTTCGCTTTGCTTGTCCTACAGTATATATGGATGCTTCTAGCTTTCTTATGTTACCATTATTGTTGATTAATAGAGTAAAACAAAAAAGGTGGGGAATGAAGAGTAGGGACTCCTCAGTCATTGCATCCGGGTCCCAATCATGAATTTTTTAAAGTATGTGAAGGAGGTGTTTATGGTCTGAAGTCATTCAGCTCTTCTAAGGGTTTCACTTCAATGTTTCTTCTGGCATTAAATGCATGGAAACACTTAAGCAGGGCCAGGGGGCATGCATTTTGCATCTAACAATAATCAAACGATCATCATGTATTTGTATCTGGTTGGGAATCAACTAGAAATGATGAATACAAAAGTCAATACCTTTCAATGCCATGCATGGATTAAATATGTTTTGGTTCAATGGCCAGTTACATGGTCAGTTTTTGTTTCTAAGAAACTTTATGGATTTGAGACATTAGTGGAGAAACAAAGTTAACATCCATCAACCACAACTGAGAACCACAATCCCAATACGATAATAAACAACAATGAAAATAGCCCACTTGCTTCCCTAGAAGAAATGGAAGACATGTCCAACATCAACAGTACTTACGCTATAATTTTACCAGCAAGATTCTCACTAGGAAGGCAGAGACTCTGCGCCCACCCTATATGTTGTGCTAGTACTGTAATTCTTTTCTAATATCTGATGGAGGTCATTTTCTCTCTCTTAATTCATGTTGAAAATTTTCCTTTTAATTTTCTATCTGTTTAAGATAACTCTATAACCTCGAATCTGAGCCGACTATAACTTTTCTCCACAAACAATCTAATACTTTACCTAAAGGTGTGCTGTTCTCCCTCAGAACTCAGAAAAGAGTTCAAGAAAAGAACATGTCAGGGAGAACAATAGATTCTTGCCCAGTTTTAAGATCTGCCTTGTAGAGGCCTGTGAGGTAATCTATTCCATGATTCTGTCATCATCTTTTCAGAAAAATATCTCCACCAACAAGCCCATATGTACACATGGGAAGAGAGAGAGAGAGAGGAATTGACACTACCTACAATTCAACATCAGATCAAAATTTACTAATTAATAGCAACAACCATGGATACTATAATGATAGATTCAAACATTTATTAGTAAGTGAAGCAATCAGCATTCATCTGGTTTTACATGAAGTCTTACCCACCTACATACTCTAGAGTTTGAAAACCTTATAGCTAATTCATGCATTGACCTTAGGCGCTCATCAGACAATCGCGTGTTCCTTGGCAGCCGGAGTTTTCACAAAGGACTCTCGAGAGAAAATCGACTGCAATGAAGATTAACAATCAGTTGAGAGGTTTCAATGAACAACTCCTATCAATAAAACGACTCCATTTTCCTTTTTTAAATCAAAGATTGACAAATTTTCCTGACAGTACAAGATAAGCAAAATACGACAAAGAGAATCAACTCTCTTCTTTATATTTTCCAGGTAACCATTCACATGGAATCAATTACAAAGCAAAAATAATCACAACATTTCAGGGGGCAGAAGACAACCAAAATAATCAAATGTTTTCAGGATTAACTCAGATAATAAAAGTAGCAAGAAGTACAATAAACATGTATTATAAACTCAAAAGAAAACAGTATAGTATTCATGTAACTTTCAGTAAATAGACAAACCTATAAGACTGTTAGCAAGAACACAGTGCAAAAGGTAGCTGAGAGATAAATGAAAGAAAAGGGAAGACGAGAGGCAGCATACTCAGGCAAATTGAGCTACTGTTGTTAGAGAAGGCTCAGGGTACTTCTCTTCAAGAATACCAACAATCACGTCAGAGTCAGGTACTCATTTGTCATCAAACTTCACCACTGGTTCCTCTCCTTTTGCACGTATCTCCAAGAACCTATCAAAATCAAATCAAATAGAGAATCACAAACTTCACGACCCATTTGCTTATACACTCCAATCAACCCATCATCACAAACAAAAAGGCCACTTTTACAATCGAAATCACAAATTTACAGCAACCCATTTGCCCAAACACTACAAACTACCAATCACCACAAACAAAAAGCCCCCCAAAAAGTTCATAATTTTACAATCAAAATCACAAATTGAGAGCAACACATTTGCATTGAACACTCCAAACAATCCATTACCACAAAAAAAATAAAAAATAAAAACCTCACAGTTCACATTTTTACATTAAAGTTTACATCATTTATGATCTGATATATATACCACTAAGGCTTATTACTGAGATTGACAAGGTGCAACTTGTAAGGAACCCACTTTTCATCCAAAGTAAGAAGAAACCTTTGGCAGAATGGGCCTGAAGAACATAAAACAAAGTAACAACCTTTCAATTCAAATTCAAAACCCAGAAACAAAATCACCCAAAAAAAGAAAACAAGCATAACATACGGTCTCCAAGAACATCAGGGGCATCAGCTGCAGCCTTGACACATATCTCCAAATCCATTTATTTGTCTAGAAAGATTTGACAACTTTCATGCACATGCATACACCTACAAAAAGTTTAGTTCGAATCTATTTTTTTAAATAAAAAAAAACACCATCACATTTTTACTTAATTTATTTTATTTACTTATTCAATAATTCAATTTCGTTAATGATAAAATAAGTATTACAAGCCTCACATCTGTTAGTCAAGAGCCATTGTAATACAAAACAATACATAATCACCATACAAATAGATATCATAAAAGTCCATAAGAAATTTTTTGCACACCCTAGAGCCAATAATAGTAGTGTTACAATGAAAGCAACTACTACCCAGTATGAAATAAATCCGAGCCATCCATCTTTAACTTTGTCAAAGAATTCGTAAAAAAATTTACTTTCCTAAATGTATGGGTGCTAATCACTTTTTTCATATTTATTTGGAATCTGTCAATCTCAAAAAAAATCTTTCAATATTTTTAAGACATCAAGGGTCGGAGGCAATGAGTAATATAAAAAAAAAAAGTTTTGAAATACAAATAAGTCCTAAAGAAAAAGAAATGGTTATTCTCAGCCAATTATCATCTATCTCCCACATGGGACTCCTGGACTCATTCCCCACCCAGCTTCTCCTATTGGTTTGCCCTATATTTAATTCTCAGTTTGCTGCATCATATCGGCACCGGGACCACTTCCTTAATTCATCATTGCATTCCCCATTCTCTTTATTGAGTTTCACAAAAACACAATAAGAAGAGTTTGGTTAAGAAACAAGGACAAATGTTGCTTAATATTTAAATAAATAAATCTTTTTACTTGGTATGGATTGTATTCAAAATTTAAATAAAAATATAAGTAAGGATTACACATTAGTTGATATTTATAACAAGTAATATAGTGATAAATAAAGTTCGATCTGTTTGAAAAGTTGATTTATTACTAATTACTAAAATTTATAACAAGTTAAGTTTTATCCAGCAATAAGAGGAACGAGTTGTTAAAATTAAAATAAAATTTATCTAAAGTCTACTTAACTTAAGGATTGCAAGTTAAATGTGTAGTGAGCAAACAATATAATTAAGGCTTAAGATTATGGTTTCAGCTATTGCTTTACAAGGATATAAGATCAATCAACTACTTACTTTTTATGAGAATCAATATTAGTCAAGGTTCCTTAAGCATGCATGGTACTCCGTCGAGTTATCACATAATTGCCTAGCTTCATTAACTATCTATATGTCTATAGAACATTAATTAAAGCTAAGCTCACTAAGTTTAAGACCTATAATGACTATGTATGATTAATAGGTATATATCAATCCTATTAATTAATCATCCACTTAATTTCTTAATTTGAGATAAACATACATTACTCAAATTTGGGTCCTTTTAGATTATCCTTCTCAGGTCTCATCTAAAACTCCTTACTCAACTTGCTGGTGATCAAGTAACAAATAAGACAATAAGCATGAATTTGAATAAACATTGATATTCTCATAAAAGCAAGTAGAGGAAAAATTCGAAGTATTCCAACTACCAATAGCATCCACTATAATCTTAGATTAAAACTCTAGCTCAACATGTTCAAAGGATAATACAACATTTCAACAAACAAAAATATTGTTCTAAAAAAATAAGAGAGAGAATCAAATCTAGAGTGAGGAAATTGTTGACAGCTTTTGCATCTTCCAACTCTTGATTCCTTTTCTTTTTCCCTTTTTGTTCTTGTCTCCTTTTGCCCAAAATGGTCTCTCCAAATCCCCTTTTTTCTTAGTGCAAAACTTTCCATTTATACCCCTTCTTTTTTTTTTAGCTTGCCCTAGGAATATTCATAATCTGACTTAGATAGTGTTGTAGCACTGGAAACTTGGTGTTGCAGCACTGGAGGTTCTGTTTCCTTGTTTTTTTGCTTTAAGTTGCCTTATGCAGAGTTGCTCTGGACCTCATTTTCAGCTTCATTTTTTATCACGATTCCTTTTGATTTGGGCCAAGTGCTAAACATCAAAGTTGTAGCTCATCCTTTCGGCTTTCCATTGGTTTAAAATTCACCTCGATCGGACTTCTACAACTCAATTTATGCCTCAAATACTTCAGCTTGTTCGATTGCTTTTAAACCTAATTGCACCATCCTTTGCATTCATGCTCCAAGTCTTTGCATCTCCTTCAGCATTAAGGGATTAAATAATCAGAGACTGAATTGAGGGATTTTGACAAGAAATTAAGCTAAACTTGCATGAATGGAACTTGGCATCATATAAGTTAAATTATTTTTAAAAAGAAAATTAGAAACCACTTAATGACAAAAAAAGACTAGAAAACTTAGCAAAATTCAAGCTTTAAAGATGTCTAAGGTAACTCTATATAATAGAGTTATCACAAGGACAAATCATGGGGGATTCTTCATCATCATAAATTCACATGGTGATCTTATACTATAATTTGATATGCTATTTGTTAAAATTACAATATATTGATATATTGTTTTGCATTTTATTGGAGTTGATGTTGTAATTATTGCAGGTGCAGCATCTGATTTAGAAGTGTTTGATTTTCAACATGACGAAAGAAGAGTGCATGGAAGCACTCTCCAAGCATGCAAGCATCCAACCTGTCATCACTTCTACTGGTTCGTTTTATTCCTCTCCCAATTCTTTTTCAATCCTGCATTCACCAAAAAAAAGAAATCACATATATTTGAAACAAACCTGAGTACGCAACAGAAACTCTCAAACATGAGTTGCAGGTTTTAACTTTGCTTATATTATGATCTCCAGTAAGCTTCTGATGCAGCTATAGCTGGCCAAACAAAGAACCTGTGAAATCTGTATAGAATTCTGCTTGAGCTGGAGGTTTTTTTTCTTGTCATATCTTGACCAATCGACTCGACAGCAAGTCGACCTCTGATCTGATATAGCCTAGTAAGTTAGAATATAAGTGAACCTGTGAACCCAAGTAGGGTTCTGCATGCTTTACCCTTAGCTTTCTCATACCATGATCCGCTGAGACAACCTTTGATCAAGTCAAGCCTGAGTATATATATAGCCAGGTGAAATCTTGTCAAATCTAAGCATTTTCAGCCTAAGCTCGGCTCTTTTCAATATTTCATGATCCTGAATCACTTTTGATCAGCCAAATATTAGAACACCAAGTAAACTATTCTGGGTCTTATCTCTTCTCTAACATTTCATCGTCCCTTCACAGAGTTATAGCTTCCAAGTAATTCCTATTCCTTTCTCAAGAAATAAGCTCAGATTGAATTCGTTGAAGGCTTTTCTTTTTTAATGCTGGTTTTTACGTGAAAAATAGTATACATTATCATGCTTATGCGTAACACGAACTACGTTCATCATTACGTACAGTTTGGAATGAACTTGAAAAGGAAAACAAGGAATTCTTTGAAGCCTATGCACAATCCCAAAGCAAAGAAGACCGAATGTCGGAGGCAGAGACGAGTAAAATGATCCAGAAGATGATCTCGGATCCTCCTAAAGACCCTGACAACTAACATTTCCATCTTAAACGTTCTCTCCTTGGTGTTCTGGTTGGTACCAAGCCCTCTCCTCCACCCCCCTGCCCTCCCTAAACTCCCTTCAAACCAGCCAAAAAAAACAAGCTCAGAATTCAAGCCATAGTGTTTTTACTGAGAGTCCAAAGGTGGTCCTATTGCACATGTTCAGTACGGAAGATCAAGGAGTATTACCACGGTTCACGTTTCCAAATAAAATCTAGATTACCCTAAATTGAATAACCAATGATTACATGCCATGTCATCGTTGAATAATCAACAATTACATGCCAATGTCGGCACCCCAGGACAAATATGGAACGATATTCTTGTAATCGCATCATCTTCCTCATCGCGGTTACTTTACTGTTTTGAATGAGTTGCTGAAGATTGCATCTGTCTTTTCTTGCATAAATACAAGAGTTGATATGTGGAAAGAAAAAACAGAGGCAGCAACATCTCGAATCTCTGTGTCATCCTTAATTTGTTTCTGCATGAAATGTCGGCAGTGCTTGTCTGATAGTATATATGGCTGCTTCTGGCTTTCTTATGTTACCATTATTTGTTTGTTAATAACTAGAGCAAAACAAAAAAAGTGGGGGACTGCATAGGCCCTGGCAACCTGGTCACAGTCATGAATATAATTTTTTAAAGTTTTAAAAGCAGGTGAAGGTGATGTTTGTGGTCCTGTGGAAGCAAGACTAGCCAGTGGTCTGATATCATCGCGTGCTCCTCAGGGTTGAACTTCAATGTTTCTTCTGGCATTCAATGAATGGAAAGTTTAGTGACTAGCACTTAAACAGGGGCCAGGGAATGCAGTTTCTAGCACAACTGAGAACCACTATCTCAGTACCAAGCAAAGGAAATAGCCCACTTGTTTTCCTAGAAGAAAAGGAAGGCATGTTCAAGGTTAATACAATAGTACATATGCCATAACTGTACCAGCATGGCTAGAAACTTGGACCACCCTAGTAAGGCAAAGGCTCTGCGCCTACCCTAGATGTTGTGCGAGTAGTCTAGTTCTGATATCTGATAAGGGTCAGTTTTTCTCTCTATACTTTTGACCTAATTGTTTGCTGTCATTCCCTTGGAACTCAGAAAAGAGTTCAAGAATAAAACAAAGTCAGTGAAAGCAAGAGATTCAAGCCTAGTTTTAAGACATGCCTTGTAGGAGCCGGTGAGCTAAATCTATTCCATGATTCATCATCCCACCAGCGAGCAAAACAGGAAGGTGGGAGTACTTGGGAGATTAATCATTAATCTGTATGTGTTATTATTTTGTTAAATAAATTATATATTTTAACATTAAATTTAATAAATATAAATTGAAATATTAATATAAAATTTTTCACATTGTTTTTAATAATATATAAAGTACAAACTTAATTTTGAAATGACCAAATCTAATTAGGTTAAACTTATATCCAGCTTAACCAGTTTAGCCCTAAACCTTAAATCTTAAATTTTGAAAAAATTAATAAAATTGATGATGGGCATTTTAGGTGGGAAGCTCATGAATAATTTGTTACTTTGCTTTTTATTTTGGAGTGTGGCCTTTACAAATTTGTGATTGTATTAAAACTATATTGTAGAAAATATATATTATTTAAAGCAAAATTTTCATGAATTAAGAATTTATATATATTATTAAATACAAAAAAAGAAATACTAGTGGTTTAATCCCAACGCAAAAGGAATAATCTTAGAACCACGCGATATAGCAATCATACTTCATCTGCAATTTGCAAATGCAATCATAGCTTTCCCCAATGCCACCAATCATTTTGCTGCTTCCAATATTCTTCATTAATGCTGGGGGGCGTTCTAACTTCTAAGGTGTAAATAATAAATTCTATTCTCAACATTGGGTGAAAATAATAGATCTATTTTTTGAAATTACATATGCATATATATTATTTAAAATATTTAATTAGAATCTCCCTTTTTTCTAAAAAAAATTAAAATCAAAATTTTTGTCTCAAAGTTTGTAAAAATAAAAGATAAATATAGTAATATATAGATATAATAAATTGGAAATACAAATTTATTTCTACTACTATTTCTCATCATGTATAGGAGAGAGAAAAGTGGGTCAACTTGGAGTGGAAATAGCAATTCCATGTCATTACACGAAAAGAGAACTGTTTCTTTTGTGGCGCGAAACACGCGGACAACGACATTTAAAGGTTTCGCGCGTAGTTTCGAAACGTCAAACCAACGCCATAACATGTCCCTACAAAGCCCAACTGTCTCTGCTTCCCACTTTCTTGTTTTCTTCTTCCTCGAATCATCGAATTATTATCTCCCATTTTTCTTCCGAATCTGAAAACCCCAATTCTTTGCTTCTTTCGATCTTCAATTCAATATCGAAAACCCCATTTCGTACAATTTTAGTATTTCTTTTTTCATGAACCGACCATTTTTATAGTTTTTTTTTTTGGTTGCATGTGACGTTTGGTTTTGACCAACCAACTTGCTCAACATGTCGGCTTGTCTTTCTCTTGCTTGATTTATAAGCAAGACAAATAGTTTGTGCCCGTTTGTTATCATGTTCTTTTAATTAAATTAATTTAATAAACACTCTGAAATTAAGTGATTTAGATGGAGATTTTGTTGGGCATCTGAACTCAAAGTCAACAGCCAGATTTTCTTCCAAACAACTTATTTTAGAAAAAAGGTTAGATCTTTTGTTTTCTTTTTCAATTTTTCTTCCTCTTTTTTCTGGGTTTTCTTTTCTCTTTCTTGGTTTTTTGTTTTCTGGATTTTTCCATGATTTGGTTAAGCTTCTGATGTTTGCTTCTGCTTTTGTGAAAGTTGGATTCTTTTGGTTTCTTTCCTAAGTGCCTATTTTCATTTTTTTCCTTTCAAAATGATCTTTTTTGTTTGTTTCAATGAGTTCATAGAGGGCTATATGATTCTTGTTCAGTTGCTCTCTGATTGTAATTGATTGATTTTTTTGAGGGTTTGTTGGGGGAGGGTTGTAATATTAAAATTCTCTCTTTTTATGATTGGGGGGGGGGGGGGGGGAGGCGGAATTTGTTTCATTTGCTAATTGCACTTTATACTTTGTTCCCGTGCTGTGTTCTAATCATTACTTTGCTTAAAGAATAATTTTAATGATTTTGTTTCTTGCATGTTTATTGCTCTGAGCTCTACTTTGTTTTGCATTTATGAAACGTCTAGAAACTTAATTTTTGGCTTTATTTGATACTTATATGACTGTTGTAAGGGGAATTCCTTTGCTGCTTTAATCTTTTGTTTTCTAAAGAAAATTTTCATATTTAAGCTTTATTTCAGTGACCAAGAAGATGTTTTGTTTTCCTTTTCTACCATTCAAAGATGTTTTGCAGTAAGGGTTTTTTATGGAAAAGAAAAATTCTTAGTGTTTTCCTTTTTATAGAGTACATGCTTTCTATGATTGGTTTGGGCTGAGCATCCAATTTAGATGCTGCATATTATGCCAAGCTGCTATCCAAGTTTCTTTTCCTTTTCAGATTTTAGTTTGTTTTGTTTCTTCAGTCTTTTGGCATATGCTTTTTTGCATCTTTATTGAATATTAATATGGAATTTCCAGGACGCAGGGGGCTTTCAAATTGAGTATTTGGAGTTTTACTGTCGTTGTTGCTGTGGCAGCAGTATAAGAAATTTATGGTAAGTGAATAAAAAACTATATCCTTCTTGCTTTGGAGGAGCTCTAAATTTTTGATAGTTGGTTAGTTTGCTTATTTTAGTAGTAAATAGATGGCAGAATTTCAATTTCAGGTATATCCATTAAATTCTTTTCCTTTTCTTTGATGCAGCCTGCAGATGCATTTTTGCATCCTGTAGAATGCTATAGATTTAAGGGTGTTTATTTCAGCTGCATGAAGAAATGTCAAAGAACATGGAATGTAAGCCTCCTACACCAAGTGTTATTGCAAAATTAATGGGCCTTGATGAACTTCCAACTCAGCAACCTGTCAAGAAGCGGAAACAGCAAAGAGTGCTCTCAGAGAATTATCGTCGTAAAGTTGCTTCTATAGGTGTTTGGGAGAAGCGGTCATTTGATGAACGCCGTTCATATAGGTTTGGCATTGAAGAGCAAAAGGAGTTCAAGGATGTATATGAAGTAATAGAATTATTAGAGAGAGACAAGGAAAGTGATTTGTTTGCTGAAAAGGGAAGAGTTGATTTAAGATCATCAGAGGGAAAAATTCCTATTTTAAGTGGAAGTTGTGTAGATGCAGATTATGTTCCAGTGGGTGTCAAGCTTCAACACTTGAAAGAAGTTCATTCTGGACAACATGGCCCAGGATTTGTGGATTCTAGAAAGGATTATTTTGAAAATCATTTTCAGAATCCAGATTGTTTGACCACCAAGCCTTTCTATGATCAAGAACGTGTCTCTTCTCACTTGCTTTCAGGGCATGTAAGAATCTTAGAGTCAGCATATTCTTTGGACTCTGAAAATACTGATATATACAGGGAAGTCTGGAATAGAACTGATCAAGGAAATGCTAAATTGCTTCAGCAACTTGAAAATAATCTTGTAAAAGATTTCCAAACGAAATATGGACCTGATAGTATGTTTCCTGGATGTCATCTGGAATCAAACAATGAAAAACATCCTTCCTTTAGAAAAGTTGTTGTTTTGAAACCAAACCCTGGAAAGGCAGAGGATGCTTCTAGTGAAGGTTCTAGGAAAGACAAAGGTTTCCTCAGTCATGGAAAAGGAAATTCACATACTCAAGTTAAAGAGAGGAAGAATTTGTCCAATGGTGTGAAATCCACAGGGCATAGATCTATCCCTTCCTGTGGATCTGAAAAGGAAATCACCAGAAAAACAAGGCATAAGACAAGTGACAGTCCTTTGCAGCCACCAAGGTCACGATTTAGTGGTGTTCACAGTCTTGCAAAAGAGCCAGAGTTAATGATGGTTTCTTCCCCAAATTACTCTGATTTGAACAACTGGTATAAGCCCTCATGCAACTACTTAGATGGATCATATATGGCTCAGGAAGCAAAGAAGCAAATCTCAGAAAGATGGAGGATGAATAAAGAGTTTCTGGAGAATGGACTTGCTTTTGGGGGTAGGCGCAGAAGCAGAACTCTTGGTGAAATGCTTGCATTGCCTGACTATGATAAATATGTGAACTTTCGTACTCCTTTAGGCATTAGCAGTAGAGATGGTTGGAAAAAAATTGGTGTTGGAGACTTAATAAAGTCCAGATCTCCAGCATATTTTACATCTGTTGGAAGTCCTAAAGCCAGGACCAGTCACAAAGCTTTCCATGATGATTCGTGTATGACTATGAGGCCAATGTTTTCTCTTAATTGGTCAAGACTGAAGTCAAGTAAGCAGGGTTCCAGTGGGAAAGATGATCTGGAACGAAGAAACTCAGGATCCAACTGCAAGAAGTCTCAATCTAGTCCATACTTAAAGTCAGAAAAGAATCACTTGCTTGAAGACAAATATGTTATCCATTATATGTTAAAGAACAACCTTGAGAAGCAGGATCGTGCTGAACAACATTCTATAGTTCGTAAGTCATTAAAGCACGATGTTGATTGCTCTGACTCTGAAAATGAAATTACCCCAATTGATCAATGGAATGACATTAAGGATGGAAATATGTCTCCAGAAGGTTCTGTGGTGCCTGAGTCACCAATGTGTACTGTTGCGTCCCCAAGCATGGCATCTGATACGGTGGTTGCTATAGAAAATGTGTCTGTCAGCAAGTGTACCAGGAATCAGAAACAGCCACAGTTTGAACCAATAGGCTGCACCATGTCAGAGAAAGACTATGATTCTTCTTGTATCCCTGACGCTTCAAGTAAACAGGTTTGATGTTTATTTTTTTTTATTTTTAAGTCTCTGATTAGTTTGATAGATGCTAGTATTATGTAATACTCAAACCTTAGACGATATTTTCAATCAAAGCTATATGGAAGCTGATATGTTCTAGAACCTGATTGTTTCTCAAGTAAAAGGATGTGCTATATAGTCAATGTAAATGATACATGCACATTTTGCTATGACTTCACATTTTCTTCTTAACTTTGAATCATTCCACTACCAAAAGAGTAGCATGTTATACATTTTAGATGTAAAGTAGTTGTTTTAGTACTTGTGCACATTCTTTTGTACAAAATATTCAGATAATTTTCTTTGGATATGTTTGTTCTTCTAATTGTTCAGCTGCAATTTTGGGCTACTCTTTGGCTGCAAAAATTAAATTTCCTTCCTCAATTTCTTTCACTGTAATCTTGCAGGAAGATATATCAATGGAAATATCTGAAGAGTGTGGGACAGACCCTGACTCTCTCGTGAACTTGGAGAGAACTTATCAGCCCAGTCCAGTTTCAGTTTTGGAAGCACCATTTGGAGAAGAGGTTTTATCCAACTCTGAATGCTTTCACAGTGTCAGTGCTAGCTTACATGGTACTAAGACAGAAGGATTTCTTGACCTCTTGATTCTCTTGCCCACTTTTAATCAATTTAATT